TAAATAACAGTTGCCCTAAAATACCTAACACAAAAGAACAGTCGAAGGCGTATGGATTAAGGATAAATCATCAGTTATCCTTATAAGTAAATAAGTATTAGCCTAACACAGTGATAAAATAGAATTTCTACCTTTTTTTCTGTTGTATCCAAGATGTGGTTGCGATAAATATCCTTGAATATCCTTTCGCTTTCCTTTAACACTTACAAGAAAAGTTTTCAACCAATACACATGCAGTCCTTAGAGTCCTTAAAAAAGCACCGATAAGCTACCGGCACTACACTTGTAACTTACAACGTAAAATACTGAAAATCACATTGTTATTAATCGAAATAGTTCATAATATTTAATAATTAAACGACTGCCTCTTCAACAAAGCTCAATTCGATGAAAACTAAGCTCGCGTTTGATGATTCAAACTAATAATCGAAATCATGACAAGATATACTCGTTCACGAAGCTGATTAAACAACGTAATCGCAAGCCGAAAAAAACCGAAATAATACGTTCATTACAAAGTCAAAATTGTGATAAAAATATATATATTATTCCTTACTTACGTAAAAAAGACCTTACGTACTACTACACTCAATTAAATTATTGTAGGTACCATTTGAAATCAAAAATTATGACCCTTATTTTTAATGTGTAAAAAGGATAATATGAAGGACTCAGATTCAAAGCAAAAAATTTGTTTATTTATTTATATAACCAAATGCTAATTGTTAATGATAGTAAACAAAAATTAATTTTAGGTGGTTTCGTCTTTTATCTAAACGCCTTCCTAGCTTACTTCATATTTTTATCATTATCAAGGCAAATCCCTGCACTTTTCAAAGAGTGGTACTTGATGGAAAAAAGAGTCTTTTTCTCGAAAAAATACCAAAGTAATTTGAAACTAAAAGTCAGAACCGTAACTGCAACATTTATGACATTAGCTTTAAGTAAGTATTAACAATGTACAACATTGTTTTGATATGACTTGTACAGTTCTATCAAATATAAATTAGGCAGAAAGGGAAGAATGTACAGCATTCCTTTTCGGGTATGAATCGCCACCCGAGTCAGAGGCGAGGGTGAGAACTACGTGATAAATCCTTCCCTGACAAGGATTTTTTATTTAAACGGGAAGGAATGTTGCGCTTATTTCTTCCTTGAAATCAGGGTATGAATATGGTAAAAAAAACATTTATTTTTTAAGTCGACAATATGGCTTCTAACGTCAAAGACATATACATTACGATCAAATACAAAGACGAAGACGTAGAGTTTGCAGAATATTTTTTCGCAACCGTTTCTTATAAGTCAGTCTTTTCACTGATATCATACACGTTGTGGAAAGCAGTTATTATAGAGGTATAAAAATGAACATTTTCTTTCTGGATTTCGTATCTGACACATTGCTCCTTGAAGATTTGCAGTTTCGCCTGTACATTTATCTGGAATTACACCGACGTGTTTATAATGGCTTCGAGTATAGCAATAGNATAATGATTTAGCTTTCGAATGATGAATGAACTTTCAAGCTCGGTTTGCTAAATCCTGAAATTATCCTCCAGCCCCATTCCCCAACTAAATGAACCAATGTTTGAGTACCTATTTGTATTTTGTTTGTTTTTGTAAATTAAAACGTAATTTAGATAAGTTCAAATTTAATTAGCACTAAAATATTATATTATTAATTTTTAAAACAAAATAATTGTTATTTGTAGTAAAACGATCAAAATTTTATATTTCCTACCGGTCGTCCAGTTGTCCGAAAGAGCAAGTATTCGATAAACAAAGGATAGAAAATTACGCTCGGCAAATGCCAATCGAAGGGGTATATTATGGAATAAGGATAAAACAAAAATCATACATTATCCTTGTACGAAAAAAAAAAGCCTAACAGTGACGAAACAGTAAAATTTCTACCTTTTTTCTGTCGTATCCGAGAATGAAGTTGAGATAAATATCCTTAAATATCCTTTCACATTCCTTTAACACTTAGAAGTTTTTGACCACTGCAGACAGTCCTTAAAGTTTAAATAAGCACCTGTTAACCTCCAGCACTATACGCACAACGGAAAATACTCAAAATCACATTTTAATTAACCGAAATAGTTCATAATATTTAATAATTAAACAAAATCAGAACCGACCGTGTCTTCTACAATGTTACATGAAAACTAAGGTCGTGTCCGATGATTCAAACTGAAAAAAACCCATGGCAAGATATATTCATTCACGAAGTTGATTAAACAACAAAATTCTAAGCCGAATAAAACCGAAATAATATGTTCATGACATAGTAAAGATTCTAATAAAAACATCCAAATGCTATTCCTAATCTATATGTTTTTTTTCTACAGAATATGATAAATTAAATGAAAATATTTACGTTAAAAAGATGTTATGTACGATATAATAAATAACTAAGTACACCCAATTAAACATAATTAGTTATTACGCCATTTGAAATGAAAAATTACTAATACGCTCGGAAAAGGCTTAATTATTCGCAACTACAAAAGAAACTTTACTATATTTAAATAGTAAAAAGGCTGTATAATAAAGTACTAGACCTAAAAATAAATTTTTGATAAGCTTTTATTAAAACAAACGTAACTATTTAATTTCGACCCACCCCTTCACGCTGGTAAACTATTAAATCATAATTTAGTAGAAATTAATGCAGAAACCACATAATAATGCAGTGAATAAAAATTGGGCTTCAATTTTATTGTTATAAAATTTTACTGGGAAAAAGTGCAAAAAACCCGCATTTAACATTACCCCAGCTACCGATTAAACGCCAAGATTCGCCCCTCAGCTTCACCACGAACTCTTCGTGATGAAGGATACCTGAGGAGTCGAACTTGACGATTAACCGATAACTGGAACAGTGGTAAATACAGGGGTAATACACCGCCGGACTTACAGTCGCCCGTTTGGCCTATTCCACCTAATAACGCTCTGCTAAAGGTACCCTCACTAAGCGTCTAGGCAGTCAACCTACGATCTGCGACCGTATTACCGCTAGAATGACTAACGAGCCGGGCTTAAGTACCGTTAAACTGCGGCAAATTGTTCCAAACAGCAACGGGTTCTATTAATTTTTAATGTACTAACATTCAAAATATAAAATTTGTTTTCTACAGAATACCCTACACCTACAATTTTGAAGAGATTTGTAGAAGGAACTTTCAATTTATCAATCAGAACTACCTTTAAATACATATTCAATTAAAATCATTAATATAAATTATAGAAACTTAAAAATTTGATTAATCATGCTTCCCTTTTAATATTTAATTGAAGTATGCATTGTTATTTGACAAAATAAAAAGAAATTCGCGGTTTAATTCAGTATAATTCCACTCCAATGTTTGAGTACCTATTTGTATTTTGTTTGTTTTTGTAAATTAAAACGTAATTTAGATAAGTTCAAATTTAATTAGCACTAAAATATTATATTATTAATTTTTAAAACAAAATAATTGTTATTTGTAGTAAAACGATCAAAATTTTATATTTCCTACCGGTCGTCCAGTTGTCCGAAAGAGCAAGTATTCGATAAACAAAGGATAGAAAATTACGCTCGGCAAATGCCAATCGAAGGGGTATATTATGGAATAAGGATAAAACAAAAATCATACATTATCCTTGTACGAAAAAAAAAAGCCTAACAGTGACGAAACAGTAAAATTTCTACCTTTTTTCTGTCGTATCCGAGAATGAAGTTGAGATAAATATCCTTAAATATCCTTTCACATTCCTTTAACACTTAGAAGTTTTTGACCACTGCAGACAGTCCTTAAAGTTTAAATAAGCACCTGTTAACCTCCAGCACTATACGCACAACGGAAAATACTCAAAATCACATTTTAATTAACCGAAATAGTTCATAATATTTAATAATTAAACAAAATCAGAACCGACCGTGTCTTCTACAATGTTACATGAAAACTAAGGTCGTGTCCGATGATTCAAACTGAAAAAAACCCATGGCAAGATATATTCATTCACGAAGTTGATTAAACAACAAAATTCTAAGCCGAATAAAACCGAAATAATATGTTCATGACATAGTAAAGATTCTAATAAAAACATCCAAATGCTATTCCTAATCTATATGTTTTTTTTCTACAGAATATGATAAATTAAATGAAAATATTTACGTTAAAAAGATGTTATGTACGATATAATAAATAACTAAGTACACCCAATTAAACATAATTAGTTATTACGCCATTTGAAATGAAAAATTACTAGGGGATGTATGTAAAAAGTTCTTAAAGTTTTGTATTAATCGATCGCTAATTGCAATAAATGTTTTGTTTTTTATCTAAATGCCTTCTTAGTTTACTTCATATTTTACCATTGTCAAAACACTTGATGGTACTTGCCGAAAAAGTTCCAAAATGATTTGAAACCAAAAAAATAAAATAACTGCAACATTTATGACTTTCGCTTTAAGTAGATATTAATAACTAATGTATTACTATTGTTCTGTTATTGCTAGTACAGTTTTACCAAAAANCGATTACAGAACCCAAAAGTAACACTAATTTTACTTTAATTTAAATTACACGTATAATTTAAACATTGCAAAATGTTCCTATTTTCTTGTAGAATTTTGAGTTGATATTATTTATTATCATTATTTTCCCAATAATCACAGAGACAGAATTATTTGATGGCACGTCTATGACCTGATTAAACTTTTCTTTATAAAAATGGCACGTCGATACGTAAAGGTTCGCCATCCCTGTCATAGAACTATCAGGGGTGTATGATTAAGAACTAATAACTAATTGTACGAAACATAACTATACAATTTGATTTTTCAGTGTTACATTTTTAAAAATGCTTAAACTTTATCGTTTTCATTTGGATTTTGAATTTTTTGATTTTAATTTATTTCTATCCCTGTCTATTATAGTTTCACCAAATTAAATTCTGAAAACCTATTTCGTACAATTAATTATTTCGCAACCGTTTCTTATAAGTCAGTCTTTTCACTGTACACGTTGTGGAAAGCAGTTATTATAGAGGTATAAAAATGAACATTTTCTTTCTGGATTTCGTATCTGACACATTGCTCCTTGAAGATTTGCAGTTTCGCCTGTACATTTATCTGGAATTACACCGACGTGTTTATAATGGCTTCGAGTATAGCAATAGCTTCAAAGTTTCGTCAAATGAACAAACGAATTGAGGAGTATTTAAAAATGGAGGTGATTTTTGTACTATATCTCTATATGTACAGTCGACGCCAAAGTAAATGTATTAAATTTAAGGTAAAGGATCTGTATCTTTGGAGAATCCTTAGAGAAGATTACGCGGACGTTTCGAACCTAACCAAGCTATTGAACGACAAGATGTCTTATCTTATACTTTTATCTTTTTCTTGTAATGTTTTCGTAATTTTGAAACAATGTTTCAATAGTTTACGGTAAGGATAATTTATAGTCTTATAATTTGCAAGTAATCTATTTTAAGATGGGTTTTAATAATTGTTTCGGACTATTAATCCTTTTTGTCAGAAAACTGTATAAGACATTAGATAATCCAGGATAACGTTAGCACGCTTTCGTTGGTTGTCAAAATTATTTGTTCCAAATGATCTTCAATTACTTATGATGTAATAAAAACAATGCTTTCCAAATCTGCAGATTGATTCTTTTATCGTATCCAATTTAGACATTATTATGAGTTGAGTAATTATAAAATGCCTAAGCCTTTTTTCTAGAGACTTCAATCAGCAAGTGGAGAAAATCTACTTCGTATATTCGTTCGCGTTTTTGATAATAAGGACCTCGAGTGTCTGCATTTATGCGGCGGCTATCAACCAGGAATTCCGGAGACCTCTGAAAGCCCTGTTTTCGGTTAATTCGGACACGTACAATACCGAAGTAAATAATAAAATCGATCAAAAGCCAACACATATGTAAAAAAAAAAATGTTTTAGATCAAGAGGCTCATTAGACAAATTGGTTCTGATGACCTGTGTCTAACAGGTCGAAACTTTTTCAAAATAAAAAGGAGTTTAATACTAAGCGTAAGTACAACTTCGATTGTCAATATTGAGATCCTGATTGCTAATTTTAGATCGCAGGTGCCGTGGTCACTTACGAACTTGTGATCATTCAATTCGCGGGTGAATACTTAAAACTAAATAGATAGGAGATAAATAAATAATGACACTCATGTGTAGTTTTCCTTTTTTTTTTTTTTTAATAAAATGATTTTAAATACCTAAAATAGCCGGGCCAAGAACGAACTCGATGTACTTGTACAATTCTTGGCAATTGTTTCTTGAATTGACGTCACTGCTGCTACCCCATAGAATTAAACCGTTTATATCGAGGGTGCCCAGAACCTTGAGGATTTCGTACAAGTCCTCCTGAAATATACGGAAAATGTTTGCAACAAATTTTGCAATTGTGGTACTGTACAAAATTTACTTTTCCAACAAAGTTCCTGGTGTCCTGATACTTATACCAGAAATAGGGATAAATTCCCGACGGTTTTTTTGAGTCCATACTCGTCAAAATCCTTTGGGATTCCTTGACACGCCCTACCACCATGCGCACTTTTTCGGTAACATTCAAATAATTTTCGGACATATAAATCGAAGGGTGTAAATTGTCTGAATTACGAAACAACCAAGGACTTATTCTAAAATAAATAATACAAATGCAAAATTTATCTCTCAAGATACAACAATACTCACTTGTTGTTTTCCATCACGACATGTTGTGGACAATTGGTTCGACTGTTAGCTGGTGACATGTTAAAGCAGTAGGGGTAGTGATAATAACCCCAGGTTGCATTAGGTCGCAGGCGATTTGCAAGAAGTAGAGTCTCTAGCATAAAAGTTTTGGCAGCTAACTCGAATTCCCTAGCAGCCTGTTGCTTTAATATTTTGTCGGGCCAGAAGGGATGTAATTTTTTTAATTCGTTCACTGATAAGTCCTGATAGGGTGTCAACGTTCCAAAATTTTGCCGGAATATGGGGCGCCAACTTTCAAAATCGATAATGCCTAAGCCTAAAATTTTCGGTTAATACGAAATCTCTGTTACCACCCTACTCTCGTTTATACCTTTAAAGTCGACATCTTCTATTAAATTGTTTACAGTTTCGTTAAAGAGATCGAGATGGAAAGTTAGATTCCCTCTTTGGGGTATTCCCCCATTGCGTAGCACAGTTTTACTAGAATCTTTGGCTTTTAGAATGGCAGGAAAAGCGCCTGGATCGTACAGGATCGCCAGTTTACTACCCCTAAATCTATCGTTCTCATTTTGAATTATCCCATATTTAATTGCAAGAGTTGTAAAATTAATTTTGTGAGAATCACACTGAAACGTCGGTACGTTCCAATAAACGGGGAAAGTTGTAACACTTGGAATTTTATTGCTAAAATATGAACATACACTGTCGAAGAAAACGTTAAAAAATTACTAATTTAGTCATAGAACAGGGATGGCGAACCAATGGCACGCGACACAATATTTTGGGCACGTCACTAATATCAGTCATAAAGTCTAGTTCAATATGGATCCAAAAATTTATTAAAACAAGGAAACTAATTGAAACGGAAAGATTGGCAGGTAATACAAGTGAAAATGCTAATAACAAAATTTGGGAAACATGAAATGCGTTACCAAACACTTTTAATTGTTTGAAGAAGCTGGCTTATGTTCTTTTAACAATATTTTTTCATCAACTTACGCCTGCTAGTCATTATTTTCAGAGATGAATAACATTAAAAACTCGGTTAGAAATCGTTCGACAGATAACTCCAGTTCAGCATACGTTCTGCTAAAAATAACATCTTACAACCCTAACATAAGTTATTTGTCATCTAGTCTGCAACAACAAAAGTAACACTAATTTTACTTTAATTTAAATTACACGTATAATTTATACATTGCAAAACGTTCCTATTTTTTTGTAGTAAATAAAAAAGTTTAAGTTGATATTATTATTATTTTCCCAATAATCACAGAGACAAAATTATTTGATGGCACGTCTTTGACCTGATTAAACTTTTCTTTATAAAAATGGCACGTCGATACGTAAAGGTTCGCCATCCCTGTTCTAGACTGTTCTTTGGCGTTCCATTGTTTACATCCAATCAATTGCCAAATCAATGACACATCAAAGAAAGTATTTTTTTGNATAACTAATTGTACGAAACATAACTATACAATTTGATTTTTCAGTGTTACATTTTTAAAAATGCTTAAACTTTATCGTTTTCATTTGGATTTTGAATTTTTTGATTTTAATTTATTTCTATCCCTGTCTATTATAGTTTCACCAAATTAAATTCTGAAAACCTATTTCGTACAATTAATTATTCAGTATTTTTTATGCAAAACTAACTTTTTTCATACACTAACCCCAAAACTGCTTTTAAGGGTGAACGAAAGTTTACTTTAAAACTAATATACCTTTCGATAGCGACAGATACTGCTACCAGGGCGATTAAATAAATTTTGGAACACAAACACATATCTAATTGTCGCTTACATATAAGCACTAAATGTACTTGTATCAAAACAACAATTTGCTATGAAATGTTAACTTAGAATGAACGTAAATGCGGTAAATGACCACATTGCTATTTTCTTTTTAAATTTATACATGCGAGCCAAGTAATTAATGTTTTTTTTTCCGGATGTACGTATGCGAACGATAGGCTTAAATGCCTAATTCGTCATTAGCCAAACGACAAATGCCAACAATTTATTCAGCATTAGAATAAACACATTTGTTGTTATCCGGACCTAAAAATCTAAATTCGCAATTTCCCATTTCCATTCGCCCTAACGACAGAGCGATGTTAAAGGAAAACTTTTCAAGTTTCTGTATGGCAGGAGGCACAACAAAAGACTTTGACGAACAAACTGTCTGTTGAAAAGTTTTTTAACGAATAAAAGTTTATTTTTAAAGGATAATTGCTTTATCCAGAGGGATTTTGAAATATTGTGAGTAAATAAATTAAGTAAGTATTGAGGTAATTGGTGCAGCCTAGAAATGAAAACAAAAGAATATTAAGTGTACAGATAAATATGTAAACTTTGCCAAACATGTACAATGAGCCTACATACATACAAAAACAAATGACTCCCGATTAACAAAAGAACGCTAAATTTTTGTTTTTTGCTCGAAGTCTAACAATAATAACAAAATTGACCTCCCTATTGAAAATTTAAATTAATTTTCAAAGACAACGATAGGTAGGCATAATAGTGAAAGGAAGTCGCTCGTTCTGTTGTGTTCTACCTACACCTGAGCTGGTGTATTCTCAGGTGTTGACCTTTACAAAAAATATTAAGTAACTGTTAGAACATTCGACAGAAGTGCGCGACTGCGTACGTCATTTCTTACTTAAGTTCGTAAAATTTAAAGAAAATCCTAACACCTGTTAACAATATTTCGTTTTGGAATTAATTTTCGCGTTTAAAAGAAAGTTAGACAATTTCCCTGGGTCATTTAAGGAAACAAAAGAACGTAAGTACATACGTAGAATATAGACACGTTTTTGTAGTAGGTGCGTGGCAGAAATAGTGAAAGTTTTTAGTACACGCAATAATTATTATTAGTACGATTGTATAATAAGTAGAACTACATAAAAATTTGCAAATATTTTTCAGATAATTTTACTAAAATGAAGTCATTCGTCTGGTTTTGTGTTGTGGTAGTGCTTTTAACGGTACAGGTGTGTGCAAAGGATAAGGACATGCTACGGAAAAGTATAGTGTATGATAAAAATACACCCGACGTATTCTATTGTCCTGTGCAAAAACCAAAAGGATTCGAGAAAATGATCGTCAAGTAAAGACTAATTTTTATACCTAATACGATTTTGTTTAATTGGTAGATTACTGTATCGTGTGTTACAGGGCCAGACCTTTAAAAAAATTATGTGAATATGAAGGAAAAGGAGTGCCCGAGGGACAGAAGAGTGACTGTTACCAAGACGTTGACGAAACCGACTATGCATGCAAAGAAAAATACAGAATAATGGTAATTTTCCAAAAGGAAACCTATTATATCGAATTTAAAATATTTTACACTGGGCACTAGGAATTGGATTAAATAAATCTGTTTTGAGAAACAATAGGGAACACGCAAAGAAAATAATATCGCTTGGAGACAACAGAATTTCGCTTGTGTTTTCTATAATTTAACACAATACGTATTAATAATAATTTAATATCATTCGAAAATAATTATCACTTAATCAATTAATTAATTAATTAAATCGTCCATTTGCTAAATGTTATTGATGACTAAACAACGTTTAATTTTTTCTTTTCAGAAACGTTTGAAAAAAGCTTCAGCTGATAAAAATTAAGGGGATAGAACATGACTAAAACGTCATTAAAAAAAATGACCCTTGTAAATACATACACAGACCTTGAAACGTCTTTGCTTTATGCTTAATACTAATCAGAATATTTATTAAAAATAAATAAAATGTGGTGGAGGTACACGCTAAGCTTTTCTACTAACTAATAATTTATTTTTTATTTAATCGTAAGCAACTGTATTTATTTCAATATTTCGGATCGTTTGGTGTTGGTGACAGTTAAAAAAAAAAGTTCAAACCTTACGTGAATGTTTATGTTAGAAGTAGAATAAGGTTTGACCCTTGCCCTTTAACTGTTGCTATCAATTTTACCCTATTCTTTCGTCTAATACTTTTTTGTCCTTCGCAAACGTGGATACACATTTTTACTGATGCATGAGTACTATATTTTATTATTTTCTGTACTATCTGGCAAACAAAATTATTTTTCTACCACAAAAATTGTAATGATAATGATAGCAAAATTAGGATTCAACTTCGAATTCCAGTAAGAAATCTAAGGGTAAGTGGTAAATAAAATTGACCCTCACGAATTTGTTTTTAGCCAATTTTGTAACAATTATTAATGTTTGTATGTAAATGTTTTTTTTTTAGATGAGACTCAGCCCCCCTGGTTCCGAAAAGCCTTACGACGGAGCAAGATTAAAACGGTTCCTGAATGTTGACATGGATTTCCTGAAGGATTATAACAATAAAAATGACAAATTCGATGTGAAAACTATCTTTTTGCAAAACAGATTGGGATAGAATCAATCGAGAAAACCTAACACTTGTAACAAGACTTATTTCTGCAATTTTTGTGATTAATATATGTGATCAAACCCTCACTTGTTACCTAACTATTAATTTAGAATAACATTTTACTATTTTTTTTGTTTCGCACACGTTAAAAAATCATATTTCTACGAACGTTGTATTTTTTTTTGTAGATAAACAATTATGTATTAACTGAAAAAAAAATAGGGAAAATATACCACTGAAAACGAGTTGTTGCTAGTTTTATTTTAACATCATCCCTATTTAAGAATGCAATATTATTGCTTCAAATTTTACTGCACCTATATACAATACTAATAACAAAAAATGTAATATGCAACAACAATTATAAGTATAATATTGCATTTTTGTACGATTACAGAACCTATTTCTTATTTACCACCAATTTAATAATCACAACCAATTTTATTACGTAAAAGTACGGTAATTACTTTGTGCTTTTTTTTATCTACATTTATTAGATTGTCACTTTTTATTTTTTTTTAAGTACTTATTACTTTCTTTCGTTTTTATTACTGGCGAATATTGCGACACCGAGTAGTAAATTGTTTCCTAATACAAAACAAAAAAAGAATTTTTCATAAGATCGCGCACTTGTTTCTATCCAAAGCCTCCTGTATATTATCTAACATGGGACTCTGGTCCCTTATTTCGACGCTGTCTATCATGTTCATGAGTTCTTTGAAAACTGCGATGACTTTCCAGTTGTATTTCGCGCTGCATTCGATGTATCCACATTTCCAGTGTTTCTTCACCAAGTTTACAATGTCCCTTCGCTTTTCGTCTACCCCGCTGGTGATGGCCAACTTTCCCGAACCCCCACCGCCCCCTGGACCATCCTCTTGCACTATCAGATCCTCCTTGTTCCCTACCACTAGTACAGGAACGTTGGCCATGTTCCTGCTTTCGTAAATTTGCTCCTTCAACGTCCTTACGAACTGAAACGTTTCCAAATTCGAGAGGTCGAAGACAAGAATGTAGGCCGTAGCACTCCTCAAACCATAGTAACGAAAATCCGTCCATTCGTAGAAAGTGTTCACCTAACATTGATATTCTTTACAATATATATGGTCAAAACATTTCTAACATGCCCACAAATTCGACAAAAAACAAAACAATCAGAAAAAACAAAAGACGTAGAAAAGTAGATAAAACAAATGTATGCCAAAAAGAAATAACAAAAGGCGTTCAGAACATGCAAAACAATACATACGTATGTGTGTATAACTCACCGGAAAATAGGGAATAACGGGAAGATCGGTGATTTTGATTTCGTAAAGTCTATCGTGAGTTATTACAGATGGATAGTAAGTATGTTTTCGATCGGTGGGGGCATATTCTGGAGAAAAATCGTTCCAAACGAACTGCTATTGATAAAAACAGACCATTACGACTATAAAAAACTTTAGGTATCCGAGTAAACTGAATTTGATAGGAAAATAATACAGGACTGTAAAAAAAGAACCAATTCGGTTGAACTAAAATTCAGATATTTTTATCCTACTTAAAACGTAGGGTGCTTGGAAAAATGTGGGTTAGGAGCCGGGAAAAGGGCTGGAAAGTGGCCACTTTACCGAAGCCTTTGAAGAAGGCTGGAAGTGTTTTTAATAAAAATTCCGCACACCACTCGAAGCCGCCGCTATTTTTTCGTCTCGTCATCACAATAAATTCCTTGGCTCTGAAGTGACAATAATAGAAATTCTTATCGTTCCTGCGGGAGTCGGGAACACGAACCAATTCATATTCTCTCGAAACACGGTCCCATAATTAAATAATCCCAATCTTACCCTAAAATTCGCATGCATAACTCTAATTTGCGAAATACAAATAACTAAGTCAAACAACGATTATAATTCCTCTCTCGCCGTCCGCAACAACAAGAAATGAATTTCAAACATAACGTAAAGGACAGAAACTTTTAATTATTTCGTTTCCGGAAAAAAGTTCCGATACGATTCGCCATTAAAAACGTTTTGCCCTTCCGGAAGAGACGAGATATTCGATCGCGTCAAAAACAAATTTAAAAACCATCTTTTAATCCCCTTCTGTTCCCGAAACCCGATACGACGATAATATCCCCCTGGTTCTTCCCCCATTTACTAACAGCTTTCGCATTCCTTTCCATATATACATATATAAGAGACCGCCGTTTATTCCGCCCCGAAGATTGAGAATAATCACCCCCATCACGGCCGTTTAATTTATAAAACGAAAACTCTATCTTTCACCTAAGACCCTCTATTAAACGGGGATAAAGTTGATTGTGAGCGAACACGTGCTATATTAAGAACGAGAAGACGGCGAAAAAGAGAAAAGTCCTTGGCTGACGCCTTCGCAGGGATAAAATTATTATTCCAGTGAGTATCAGGCAGGACGGTATCAAATAAAGGATAAATATGACTCGATAAAATTCATATGTGTAGGTACACACGTATCGTATTTTGATAGCGCCTTTCGTACCTGGATAATGCTCGTTTTTCCGACACCAGAAGCACCCAAAACGATCAGTTTTATCCTGTCTACGGACTCGGGACTGTTTTCAATCGAACCTTTCTGTTGGGCCGGTTGACTCGTGTGCGAAATGACCGTGGCATTCTGGCGCCGTTCCAAATAATCCAGGTCCAATTCTGAAAAAGCAACAGAAAAGAACACCACTGTCGTTAGTGGGGGTTGCAAAATCCACGGAAAAGATCAGCGACGTGAAAAACAACTTCCTAAATTACTGTTCCTGTAATTTCCTCATTCAAAGTTAAGATCGTTAGCTGGTGACCTTAGCGGAAAATGACAAAACCCTAAACAAGCAAACGAAAATGACACAATAAATTAAAAATTAACAGCGCAGCTATGTTCATTAATATCTTACATTTAATTACGAAAAACAAACACATGAAACAGGAGAATTACCCACACGTATTTAATAATGACAAACAACACGACCCAGTACGTACAATACATTGTTATTAGTCTGTAAAAAGGGGACACACTTTTACTTTTTTAATAGGGGGTAGTAAAGGCGGTGGTGGCCTTGCGTCCAAAATATTTTTCCCTAGTTTAGAAACAGTTGCGCTATATTCGGTGATTCCCTCCATGGGATCTGCAGCAACCAATACATCGTCGGCTAGTCGTCTGGGAATCTTTTGATATAATTCCGGCGGTGGTTTCGCGTTCCCCGGAAATACTGCAAACTGTTCGTACTCACACGGATACGGCACGTCATCGGGACGTTCGTAGAAGGCGGCTCGTTCGGAATCGGTAAGAAAATCCCTCGACCAGAACTTTACCGTGTGTCCTGGAGGCCAGCGTCTCTTCCTGACAGCTACCGGAGGTGGCGCCCGTCTCAAGATCTCTTCCAAATTGGGATACTTTTGTCTGAGTAGTTCCAGATAAGCGGCAGGACTCAAGGTGCAGGCGCAATCGTCGGGATGAGCAGAGGATCGGGTAGAAGGACCTTTTGCAACGGAAGCGTGGCTCTTGGGAATGGATAGATTACAAGGCCAAAGATAATCTTTAGTGTAAGTAGATAGATACTGATCTAAAACCATGGTAGATAATTTTACGTATCCCTGACCGAAAATATGACAATACAAAATGTTTCTGACGACCCCTAGCTGACAGCTGACAGTTTAATCATCAAACAAAAACATCTTAAATGTCAATCTACTTCGTGACTATGTCTCTGCCTCCAGACCCGCGATCGTCACTTTTTTGTCGCCTTCTACGACACGCCATGAGTCGGCGGTGAGACTATTCTTCAACCCCCGGTCTCACACGGGGAATAAAATCACGAAATTACCCACTAAACGTTTTATTAATCATTTATACAATCACGCGAATGTAATCACGGTAACAGCCTGTCGCCCAGTCTAGATATTATGTCAGAATATTCAGAGATGCCCTCGAAAGGTGGACTACTCGTTTGAGAAACGGCCTCCGTGTATTTCCGCAACAATTTCGGTTCCATCTGATCCTTATTCGATCCGCTTATGGCGTTAGGCTTCCCCTGAACGTGATGATGGATCGGGGAATCCTCTTTAGAAGACTTTACGTCGTCCTTTTCGACATCCAGCTCGTCTGCAGTCGTTTCGGGACACATGAAAGGCTTACACACTAACTTGTAACACTCCATCATATTCTTGGGTACTTTAATAGCACAGCTTCGTTTCATTCTAATATACACACATATATCAAAAAGTTTCCCGCTCAATCCGTTCGCTATCTATTACAACATGTATAGTTGGAGCGTTCAAAAATGGCAAAGTACGTAATAGAACTGCAGTAGTTACTCTCTTCTTTTAACTTACTAACTAGACTAGAACGGTTATTGACAGAACGCGTACTTTTACTCAGGAGAAACGTTGCAAGTGTGGGGAATATCGTAAACGCAGAAAAGAGATGTCAGGTAGGAATTGCAGCGGGCACTTATAAACACACACCAATTGATATGTATTAGAAATAGATGCCGACGAGCAGAATTTGAACATGTTGCCCAACTTTAAAGAAAATTCAACATTCTCAGGAATTTACGAAAGCAAGGCGCTTGTTTAAAGATATAATTGCAACCAGCCAGTTAGTTATAAAGCCGATCCTAATCTTTTGCGTACCTAAGAAACCCCTAATCGCTGCATCACCGCTTAGTACTATTCGGTTATCTATTTTCATTTGTCTGTACTTGAGAAGGGAGTGATCAAAACGCAGCAAATGACTACAGTCCCAAGTGGAAACAAGAAAGAAGATTACAGATAATCTATTGAGGACTTTGCCAATTTTGATCGATCCAACCATATACAATTTACCTGCAATATCCGATTTGGTTTAGGGCTTTGTGATAATCGCGATCTATTTGTAACAGGTCCCTCGGAGGATCGGTTTTTAAGGCTTCTGTAATGTAAGGGTACTTTTGTGGCATGGGGGTGATATAAGGGCAAGACTTCCAGTTGCATTTTGAAGCAGGTTCGGTTAAATAAAAAATAGGATGAGGAGTACATTCTTCGTAAATGATTTGTGGAGGTGGAGGATCACTGGAGTCCCTCTTGGGAAAATAGGACACATACTCCACCCTATACACTGATAGAAATCGATCAAGGTCCATCCCAAAATTTTAACGCTCCCATCAAAATTGACATCGAAAGATGACAGATAATTAAAAATTAGGTTCTATTTTTTTCGTAAGCGCGTTTAATAAACTTTTTTATTTTTTTTTTAAATGAATCTCGAACGTTTCATTTCAACATTTCAAAAGGATTATGAATGTCCCGGCAACAGTGCTTTGTTTCCACCCAGACTTACGACGATGGACCCCCGTGCTTTCGAAATGGAAATAGACGACTGGATGAAACTACCCCAGACAAGGGAATACAGGGAAACCGACTGCACTTGTAAACTAAGACCGTCGCAGTTGTTAGATAAATTACAAGAAAAATACCCCCCGGTCTACGAAGCCCTCAAGAGGGCACCACCAGGTTACAAAAACGCTAAACAATATCAACAATTTTTACTTTTAATACTTTACTATATATTAACAGGTTACTTAAACGCACGAGTGGACAGGGATCGGTTCAAAACAACCCACAGGATCGACTACGGCAACGTTAAGCCTACAATCATCCCTCAGCACGTGAGGGACGTGTTCAAGTACTTCGAACCGCCGGAAAAACCGCCCTGTTCCACAGCGATAGATCCCAGGGACTTTTGCCAAACAAAACCGACCCGAGCACGAAAGATAAACGGTATAACGGGACCACAAAGTGAACAACTTAATCCCACGATCTTGAGAGAAGAAATAGTATTTCCAAATGAAAAGCACATCAGCCCGTTTGGAGGGGCGTCCGAATACAAAGACGGTATTTGTAAAATCGGAGAAAACATTATGAAGGAAAACGCTACTTTGAAATCCAAAGGAAAGAAAAAGAAGACGAAGAAGGCGACACCAACTTTGGAAAAAGCAAAACCGAAAAAGAAATGCGAGTCTTACACGTAGTAGAAGGGTAAAAATGGTTTTGTTAATTTATTGCAATAAATCTTTTTGTTATTTTGCTTTTATTAGAAACGAGATTTTCTCAAAAGGGGTGCATAGTAGTAGGAGGAGAAAGAATTCATAAGGGAAAGCGTTTGAAATTCTCTCAAGATGGAAGAACACAGATGTAATAAATAACAGCGTCTTTACTAAAAGCAAAAAACTGTTTTCCTGTTTGAAGCAGGGAGGCAATCGGGAAGATTTTTATGGCCGTTGGCCCTTCGTTTCGATTAAAATACGAAACTGCCAGAAACCGTGTAATTTGAAAAAAGTTCCGGAGCTGTTTTACAATTTCATTAAAGTCCTGTCCCGATCAGAACGAGGTCATTCGACAGAAAAGAAATCGTTTAAATTAAAATGTGACTTTTGAAGTCTAATCTTTCACCCGACACAAAATGATGTTTAATGAAGCGCAAGACGAAAAACACCAGCAGTTGACCAAAAAAATCACAAGTTAATGCTATTACCGCGCCCTGGATGAGGATAATTACCGAACGGAGAAAAACGATTAAGGGATAACTCCCCAGCATCCTTTTTCATTGCAATTTATCTTTTGGGTTCGGGTTCAATTCCCAGCGAAGGTGTAACAGCAGCAACAATTTTTCCTAATTAATTAATTTGTAGCGCATAAAAATTAAATGATTTTTCACTACATTTGAAATTATAGGGTTGTTCGGAAAGTCATTTCGTTTGTTTTTGTGGAAATGAAAGACAGTTTTCGTATAATAAACAAATACTTTATTAACCGGTTCATCTTTTTTGCTCCATGACCTCTTGCATTTGACGTTGTTGTATACAACCCATTTTTCGTCCCCAGTGATGATGCGCTTCAAAAACGGATCATTTTCGTGACGTTTGAGAAGCGAATCGGAGACGTCAAAGCGGCGACACAGATTTCTCTCTGTGAGAACATGGGGAACCCATACATCGAGCTTCGAGGATAATCCCAGGCCTTTTAAGTGGTCATAAACTGTTGAATTTGATAAATTTAACCTCAATCCGATCTCACGTGTTGTTATTCGCCGGTTCACATCAACTAATGCCTTTATCGCGTCTTTATCAGCTTCAACCGGCCTTTCCGAACGTGGTGCATCTTCGACATGAAAATTGCCGGATCGAAATTTAGCGAACCAGTTCTGGCACTGGCGTACTGTCAACACACCTTCTCCATACACATCAGTCAATTTCTTTCTGGCTTGAATAGCATTTTTACCCTTTCTGTAGTAAAACAGTAAAATATGTCGAAAATGCTGCTTATCGCTCTCCATATTTAAAAGGGCACCAACCAAAAACTACTGCGTAGAATTAATTGGAATTTTTCACACACAAGCCTTGCTATATGAGCTCTCAAAGCATATAAAAATTATACGACTTAAATGTGAAGTTGGGTGCAAAAGAATACAATTAAATCCTCTGTCGGGAAAAAACGAAATGACTTTCCGAACAACCCAATATTTTGTTTGAAGCATTTCAGTTCGTCGCATGGGGGATGACATAGATTGAGAGAATAAAGGCTTAACAGGGTGCTGACAGACGTCGACTTGAGCGACGTTCAGTTGGGGAGTTCTTTTAAAAAGTTACCTTCACTAAACTAAAGTAGAATGTCACCCTCTTGACGCCACTCACCCAGATTTTGCTTTGAAGTTGTCGCTGTCGCCTGATTTAAATGCATTTATTCGGAAACAAGTGAATTTTCATCCCCTCACGCGGAACAGTGTGAATATGAAATCCAATAAGCATACACAGTCACCCTTCCAGAACAATGCACCGAAAACACCAAATATCGGCGTCGCTATTTCAACAACTCGTTTTATCTATTCAATGTTCGTCTCTAAATAACTAACAGTTTTGGGGTGGTACAGGTTTCATTATTAATAAACTAAAATTCCATATAAAAAAATGCGTTTTTGTTTTTTTTCAACGTTTGTTTCATAAGTGTAGGGTTGCCATCCGTCCGGGTTTCCCCGGACTTGTCCTAGTTTAGAGGGCATCCGGGGAGCGTCCGGGGGGGGGCTTCATTTGTAGTCCTGGTTTAAAAATTTAAAGTCTTGGGCCGCCCGCCACACACGTAAAAGAAATCTAACTGATTATTAAAACAATTTGTAACAAACTGTAATAAGATTCTGTTTTGTTAGGTACATTGAAAATGATGATAAAGAATGACTAAATTTAATTTTAAGGTCTGAAAATAAATAAAAGGGTGATGACATTTTCGACTGTTTTTTGTTAGACTGACTATGTTTAAAAAAACCTGTTGACATGTCCGGGTTCTGGACTCTAAAATCCGGGGTTTTTCACGCGTCTTGTCCTGGTTTCCAAATTTTAGAGATGGCAACCCTACATAAGTGCTGCCTTGACTCTTTGTCAGTTAATTGACTTTGTTACCTAATATTCTTGTAGAGTCAATTGGCTAATACACTTACGATTAACTTATTAATATCTGTATGCCTATACCCATAAGCTGGGACGATTTAGTACTTAATATCTTCAAGGGCTTTTAACTCACTCTACTTTTATTTACTATCAGATTAAATTTTCATTTTATTGTCAGCGATCGGATTACGCGGTTCAACGAGTGCTGTTGAAACAAAATGGAAACGAAAAAAAAAAAGGAAGAGGTAAACATAATCCTGGAAAAGCCATAAATAAAGGGATAAAGAGGGTAATAAAACATCTGCTATGCTGAACGTGAAAAATTCCATTGATTTTTTGTCGAAATATGTTTGTTTTACACAGTCATTTGGCATTTACCTATTGAAATGTACGTACGCACTACTTTTTTTACTATTCAATATTCATATTGTACACAGTACTGGCGAATACCAAAAAGGACAATTTACAATTTAGCCAGGGAAAAAGCCGAAGCAGAACGTATAAAATACGATAATTTAATCGATATATGTACCATGAATAAAATCAAGAGTTATGAATCACGAACACCTATCCAATTCGAATGAAAATTCGATACTTTCCAATTTCCACACAAGTCATTTAATCGTTAAATTGACAGCAACATCACATTTATAGTGCATATTTATATTTGCCGAAAGCCATAAAAACGTGGAAGATTTTCCACCACGTTAACCCCAGAAAGAAAGAGATTTTTCGTCAATATAAATTAGCTATTGGGTGAATCCCAGAAAGTCCAAAAAAATAAAAATTTCTATTTAGGCTTTTAAAAATTGCTCTTTATCCTTTACAGTTACTTCCTTTATCTTTGCTTCGTATTAAAATGAGATTACAGTTAATTAAGTTTTAAATGTTTAACATCTCAGTCTTCGAATACTTTAGTAAGATTCGAGAGATCGGCTATGATAAAGACCGTCTTGACTACTAAGTTAATTACCAACGATGTCATATAGCAGTAGCACAAGCAATAGTCTATTATCTTATCGAAACTTTGTTGAATTATAGCATCACGCTCTCGGAATAACAATAACGAGGACTAGAACGACGAACTTGTATAGCAAATTATACAGTTTCCATTTCCAAAACTTGTACAATACGTCAACATGTAACACCTACAACTTGAATGTAATTTAATGTGAAATGTGAATAGGTGGTGTTATTTAACGAATAACTGGAAAATAATCATGGATAAAAAGCTGGATGGATATACACCTACAAGGGTGGGGGCGGCTAGATTAAATTTAACTTATACAAACTTTGCGGAAAATTCGACGATATTAAAACATCATTAAATTGGGAAACTAACACAGAAAGTAGCCGAAGGGAAGTTTTAAGTAAATTAACATTTTGTTAATTAATTTTTACGAAAATGAATGCCTTTGGCAAATGATTTTATCGATTTCTAATAAAGCGAAAATTGATACGAAAATTTATACTGCGGTGTACTTTTATTGTAAGACGAAAAGAAATTTACAAATTTACGAAAGTTGTTACGAGATTGCACCTGAATCACCCCAATAAATGTTGTTACAACAAGTTTATACGAACGCGCTTTATCACAAAAAATATACGCAACTACGTAAACTTCTTATCGGTAAAAAGTCCAACAACCCTCACCGGTGGTTGTCGGAAAACTGGCGTTCAAAAGGGAAAACGACAAAGAAGAAAATAACACGGCGCCTGACATACTACTTTAACCCTTAAATTGTTCCTAACACTCCCCAATCGCATTAAAATGAAATTTATATCAATTAAGATATGTATGCCTCCCTTTTGTCTAGATAATTAATCAATCAATCGATAAATATATGGAGAACACCCTACAATCTATTTAATATTAATATTATTCAATTATTACCTGCTTTCGAAACTAAACAATGAATAAATATATAAATAATTCATATTTATATTGTTCTACGTACGTCCAATAACAATGTTGAACAAAATAATTTATTAACATCTGAGCAAACAACTAGCAAATGCTTAATAATAAAATTTATTTCGTTTAACCGTAAACACATTTCATACTTCGTGCCTTTTTCCAATTTCAGTAAAATTAACAAAGAATAACTGAATCGTGATCAAAGGGAAAGCTTCAAACGGTAATACACTTGATTCTGAACAAATAACTTTGAAAAAAGCGCTAGAAAATAAAAATGAAAAAACTCCTTTTGCTTTCAATTCCATCATGTTTAGATTCTTTTGTACTCGCTCCGGTAATTTTACATTTAATTATGTCTAAGGGAATACGAGAAAAGTAATGAAATGGTAGAAATAGTGCATGGAATTTATTTCGCTTACAATTACTGTCTGGTAAAAGAAATATTGTAACATCACACAGTTGATAAATTACTGAATGTTGTAGTAAATTAATTCCTTTCCGATTTAAATATTAAAATTAATTTATTTGAAATATTTACCATAAAATCAAAAGCGTTATCTCCATNATCGATAATAAGTTCGCATTGAACAGTGGGAAATTTAGAATTGTTTTCCTATTTTCTCAAAAAAAATTTAAACAACTTATCAATGATAATAAGTTTTTTAAAAGCATTGATTCATCATACTTCAATTTTTATTAAGCGATTTCCAAACATGACGAAGGAAGTTTACGATTAGGTATTTAATGTCCTTTCCAGGAAAGGAAGAGACATCTGTCTCGATTTGTGCAAAACAATGTTCCGAGGAACTATTTTCTTTCAAATTAAATTTATTTGCAAACCAAACGTTTTAAATATTATTAAAAATAGCGATTGCAAATCATGCATTTGCAACCATAATAAAAGGAATTAATAAACGATAAGTTCAAACAACTGATAACAAACAAGTAGCAAATCGTTATTAAGAGTTTTAATAAAAAAATAGAAAGATTTAAAATAGCCTATGATATAACTCTTAAAAATCTCAAGTGTTTGAGTAATGTGTATTATCAGTTTAACTGATTAACAACAACTTTACAAGTTGCCTACTTGAAAAAAATTGTTATTTATTGTATTCCTTGTTGTAGTCGTCACCATTACTTGTGCAAGTATCTTAATTAAAATGCGTTCACAATTAAACGTATGCACAGTGTTAATTGCGTTTACAATTTTCCCTTCGTGGACCTACGATCATTCCTATCAATTCAATGCATCAGGTATGTAATAGTTAGAAGAAATACACTTGGAGATTTTAAACGAAAAATGTCACATTCATTTACTGTCATCAAAATTACGTCAAAGTTTTAATACACCCCTTTAAATAAATTCCCTCCAAAATTCTCGCGATATGCCTAAACAATCAAAGGATAAGGTAGCAGCAGCCCCGAAAAAGGATCCCCTAACCGCCATGAACGAAATGATCCAGGAGAAACTGGAAAAGACACGAGCTTGCCTAAGCTGCTTGCAGAACCAATTAAAGCAGAAGGAAATGCAAGAAAAAATGGGCATGGCGGTAATAACGAGAGTTATGAACCCGGACGAACCCGAAATGGTGTCGTTCTCTTATCCCAATCAAGCCATTCTGGAACTGTTAATGTCAACGGCCAAATCTTTGGCAACACCCGGCAAAGGTATATTTACCATGGACGAATTTGTCAACAAGAAATTGGAAATCCTCGACTGCCTGGACCTTCATTACGTAGACCTCGAAGAAGACGATAAACTAAGAACGACTAGGATTTCGTCGGACTTAATTTTGAAAGGGTGCGTTAATCCCTGGGCGGAAAGACAAACACTGGAGGGTACCGATAACAATAACGAAATCGAAATGAACGAAGAGCAAACAGAAGAAGAGGAAGAAAACGTTATTTTAGAAAAGAAACGCAGATACGTCGAGCTTCTATTGAATACAGAAAACCTAGGTTTTTATCAAAACAAAGCCAGTACAGGTAACTATCGATAACCGCAATTCAATTTTTAAGGCTCTGTTATGTCCGGAATCCTTTTGACTAATTCCGAAGTACTACAAATGAAAACGGACGATGGCAAATCGCTCGCGGATATAATACAGTTCAAAGATTTGATCGTGGGTACAACCCTCGACTTGGACAGTGAAGTAAGTTCACTGGGAGAATGCACCCTGTTAGGTTTAGACAATTTGGCCAGTAGAATCATAGAAAAACGCATGGAAGGCTTTCAGTTTCTAGAAGTCAAATGCCCGATCGAAATTTCTCCAAGACACCCATCGCCGCAAACCATCAACGAAAACTGTAGGGTGCTGGGACGGTTTTCTAACATCTGCCAGGCGAACAGGATGCTACCGATTTTAAATTTAGACATCTTTGCCAGCAAGAACGAAAGTCTGGAATTAGCCCAAAAGGTGAAAATAAAATAATAATTCGATAATCTTTCAAGTATAGATACAAACAAAACATTTTTTCTAAAGAAAACTGAATCTATACTGGTGGCAGTGTGCAAAAATCTGCTGGACAACTACGTCGTTTTAGAAGGGATTTTACTAAAGCTTCATGTAATAAATCCAGGACCGGACTACACTGAACCGACGACCCCTAGACAAATTGCAATGTCAACCACTGTAACCCTCACCAGGTCCATTCCACCGGCAATACCAGGAATTATTTTTGATCCTAATAAATACGAAGAAGAGGATTTTCTGATAGTGTTTAACGAAGCTAATAGAAGAAAGGGGAAAGTGCCGTGGACCTTGAGCTTCATGTACGGCACTTTTGGGGAGGATTCCGTCTTAAAAGCTTGGCAAGGAGATGAAAATAATGTCGAGAATGCCCAAAAGGTGTTCTACTCGAAAATAGACGCCTACCAAAGGGCTGCGTCAGGATCATTTCAACTGGAAGGGGGACTTCCGGTGGATTGCAAAAAATATTTCTTTTAACTAAAAATGATAATTATATGACAATAGTAATTGATGTCTTTTTGTATTTGATTAAGTATTTTCGTCAAAATAAAAATATTTTTATCAAAATCCACCTTTCAAAATTAAGATATATTTATCTAGGCAGGCATACGTATATAGCGATGATCTTATTTTCTAATACCTCGACTGATTTTATTTTAAAAAGAGGATTAAAACAGACCAAAGAAACAGGTGATAACACCAGGATTATCTACACAACGTTCTACTAATGTAGATATGACATCGGTTGACCGTTGCGAGGACGAAACAAATAAGATATGTTGTTATGCGATAAAAAGGAATCAATTTTACAAATGCTGTTTCAAGGATTGCTATCGTAAACATAAGATTTAAAAGAAGGAAAATGTAGACGCATTTATATTATATTATATTATTACATTTAATCAGAGATTGCGGAAATAAAAATTAACATATCGCTTTTCTTATTTTAGATATATTTGAACTTAATTACTTAAATGAGTTAGTAGACCCTTGCGATAATTTTTATGAATTCACTTGTGGAAATTTCGAGAAATACCACCCATTACCTCCGGGGGAAAACGTTTGGGACAATTTTTATATTTTACAAGAACAGATACATAAGATAGCAAAGAGTAAGAATCTAATTAATTAACAAGAAGGTGGTGGTACCTAATAAATAATTAATAATTCCGTAATTTTCAAGCGATTTTGCAGCAGCCTATTAAACAAACTGACGCCGTTTCTTTAAGGAAAGCAAAATCTGCATATTCGGCTTGCGTCGATTTAGATTACATTGATAAGAATAGACCGAGAGATTTAGAAATTATAGAAGATTTGGATGGATGGCCTATAATTCAGGACATTGAGTTCGAAACAATTAATTTCGATTTTGAAGATATCGCAAAAGTAACATCTAAATACGGTGTAGAATTTTTATTCAACTTCGAGGTTGTGCCCAATCTGTTCAATGCTACCGAAAATGTTCTTTATGTAAGCATGACAATTATTAATATTNATCAGCAATTTCTTGTGCTGAAGTGTACGATGTGTTGCATACCTATTTACAAACAACTGCTTTAAATTTATTTTTCAAACAATTTCTAACACGATGAAAGTGATTAAACAAATTATTCATAAAAGTGAATTTCGAACAATTTCAAGCCCACAATAGGGGGAAGAACTTGTATTAATGAAAAATAAATAACCTTACGTTATTTAATTTTTTAGATTACGGCCGATAATTTAAATAATGCAGGTGTTTATAAAAAGGCAAAGGGTGAAACTGATCAGAAATTGAAGAATTTTTCATCGTCTGCTTTTGAAAACTTTTTACAAAAAGTCGTACAAAGGGCTAGACATATCACAAACAGGACTCCTACGTTGTACGACCGAATATGGCATGAAATACAACAAATAACAAATTTTACTAACGTTTTAGCACAAGGTGGAGTAAGTTAACAAAATTAATTCAGTTTGTAACAGCAAATAATTTACCACATAAATAAACAAATTACAGTACGCAAATACGTCATACGGTACCACTGTTGTTATTGAAACTATTGAATCTTTACAAAATTGGACTAACACACATTTCGGTGAAAAAATAAAGGTTTGTAGAAATTAAAAGTAACTGAACATCAAATTCGAGTGATGTATCTCTTTTTGCTTTAGTTAAACTGGCTAAAATTCATAAACATTATCGTCGAACCCACGGGAACAAAAGTAATTAACGCAACGAAGATTATGTTAACATCCCGATCCATTTTGTATGGAATATTAAAATTATTTGAAGAAACACCGCCGCACGTTCTAAAAAATTTTGTCATAGCCAGACTTTTGTTAGTTATGGCTCCCGATCTCGATAAAGAAATGAGAAATTATCACAGAGAATTTTACAACGATCACAACTTGACATTATACGAAAGGTTACCGGTCATATTTTACAATTAACTAATTAATCTGTAAACGATAATTTGCAGACCAGAATACTGTGTGAGAAAAATTTTGGACTACCCCAACCACATAGGGTTCTCTTATGCCTTGGCAAACGAATACTACCACAATTATTTTAACAAAGATAAAATCATATTGGTAAGGGAACATTTTTGGCTTCTTATTGCCGATGATTAAATCTAATAAAACTAAAAATTATTATTACTAGTAACAACACGCAGATGTTTTTAAGATAACAGATATAGTGGACAAAATCTACGAAAGCTTCATACAGTTGCTGTATGAAGCCGAATGGTTAGACGAAGCGACTAAACAAATTGCAATCGATAAAATCGAAGAAATGTATCTACTTTTAGCATTTCCTAACTGGACAGTCAATCAAACGGAAGTTGATGATTATTACAAAAATTTACGAATATGCAGTTGGGATCATTTCGGAAATTCGCGAAGTTTGAGACTCCTCAGAATGGCCACAAAATTGTCGCAAACTTCCAATATAAGGGACCGCCAAATGTAAGGCGAAAAATCTTGCAAGAAAACTTAAAATATTTACCCGAAACGTATTTTCAGATGGTCAATGTCCCCTTTAGAAATAAATGCATACTATTCTTCGCAAAGTAACCGAATACGTAAGCATACAAAAGTGGTTAATAAATTCAAAAATAATTAACTGAATTTTCAGAATTACCAATCGCAATGTTAAATCCAATATTTTACAACGGTTTCATCGAGTGAGTACCTAATCAATTTTCAGATCGATATTCTATCCCGACTTTAAACATTTTTAGATCTTTTGATTATGGAAGACTGGGAATGATCATCGGACATGAAATAACACATGCCCTGGACAATCAAGGCAGATATTACGATAAATTTGGAACTTATGCTGGAAACTGGTGGTCTTCAAATGTGTCCCGAACATTCGAAGAAAGACAAAAATGTTTTATAGACCAGTACAGTAAATATTACATACCAGAAACTTCAAATAATGTACGTAATAAAAATAAGAGGCAAAGTAGTATTACGTTGTAAATATCAGCAATTTCTTATGCTGAAGTGTACGATGTGTTGCATACCTATTTACAAGCAATTCCTTTAAATTTAAATTTTCAAATAATTTTTAACACAAAGAAAGTGATTAAACAAATTGTTCACAAAAGTGAATTTTGACCACTCGAAACAATTGTGTTAAGTTTCGAGCTTAGTGACTCATAGGGGGGAAGAACTAGTAAAAATAAGAGATAAAATGTATTATAATGGGTATCAAAAATTAATGAATTTGCCTACAGGTAAATTCAGTCAACACCGTTAGAGAAAATATCGCAGATAATGGTGGACTCAGGACTGCATATTACGCGTTTATAAAATCCGAAGCAACCAGATCGCGCATTTTAAGTAAATACACCCCTGAACAATTATTTTTTATCGGTTTTGGAACCGTAAGTACCAGATTTGTATCTTGTAACTCTTAAAGTTTAAAACCGATTTCTTTTAAAACAGCTTTGGTGCAGCAAAGAAACTAAGGGATATTTGTATTCAAATCAAGACAGCACCTACCCCCCGAACAGATATAGGGTAATAGGTCCGGTATCAAATATGAAGGAGTTTGCAGCAGCTTTCAATTGTGCCCCAAACAGTAGTATGAACCCACAAGCAAGATGCATATTGTGGTAATAAAATGTGGCTACGGTTTATTTAATCCTCAGTGTTATTTGCAGTTCCCAATAAAATAATTATGTGGGACAGACTTGTGTCATTTATTCCATAAAAAATGACAATAACACAAAGATACTTAATTTGAAAAATGTTAATTAGCTCGTTTACGTACTGTGATAATTCAGATGGTGATAACAATCGACATACATTTGTACAAAATTTACTAATTAGACGCAGTATTAGTCATCCACATTTGATTCTCTGCATCCCATTTCCTTAAAGTTTCATACTCTTTCAGTTTGCCCTTCAAAAACTCCACTTCTTGTCGAAGATAAACGTTCTGATAATGCAAATCGGAAGCCCTTTGGTCATTTTCAGGTTCTACAGTCTTCTGCAGTTCCTCTTCAAGGGCCCTTTCCAGATTTTGTTTGTTTAGCAAATCCACCATCTTATCGTAGGCCAATCGTAAACTGTCCCTTTCCCTTTTCAATTGATTAATCTTTCTAATATGTCGCTGCCTAGTAATTATATTCTTTTCAAAAAACTTTCCTATGGTACGCTGGTACTCGACCAATTTTCCACAGATTCCTTTAATATGCTCTCTTAGTTCACCATTATCGAAATAATATTGGTCGATCTCTTGGACCTTATTCTGCAATATGCTTAGCAAGCCTTCGTAGTAAGATAGCATGTCCCCATATTTGTTGGGCAAAGTTTCGTTCGAAAAGGTCTGTTCCACTGGATCAGACGTCTTCGGAACAGTTTGCTCGTACTTTTGGTACACGAAGTTCTTCAGCTGTTTATTTTCTTTTCGTATTTCTTCCAACTGATTTGTCAGCATCTTGTTCTTCAAATGGTCGTTTTGTAACTTAAGAATTATTTTTTTATCTTTCTCGTTCGACTTGAGGATGCTCTCTTTGAGCTCCTTTAAAATGGACGCCATGGTACGAAGGTTACTTCGAACGGTTTGGGGAGGTCTTTCGGAGGGAGATGACCTTCCCTCTTCAGAATAGTAATTCTGAGCATTTTGGGGCGCTTCAGAACTGTACACTTGTCTATTTTCTATATTATCGACTTGGTTTTCGTAATAATCGACGTTTTGGGAATAGTAAGGAGCAACACCCTTTGGAATTTCTTTATCCACATAGTAACCTTTATTTTTGTCGACTGGAGGTTTTACTACTGGGTTCTCAGGACAAAAGTTCCTTCTTCTGGGCATAGCCTCTTGGGTTCGATCAGCAAAGTAAACTTGACTTTTCTCGACAGGCTTGTTGCCAGAACTCTCCCCAGTCCGTTCCATGTAATAACCGCCGAGCTGATTGGGGCTATCCATTGCTTGAGCAGTCCTTTCTGGATAGTATCCGCTTTTGTTGTTGATTTGCTGATCGCGATCTGCGTAGTAGCCCTCCATAGATAAGTACTTGGAATTTTGCGGTAAAATTGAAATAAACGTTCGGAAAAACAAATGTAAAATCGACAATGGTAAATATTTCTTGCTATGACATTCAAAATTTAACAAACTGATAACAGACGACTTGATGCGCGAAACATTTTACAATACAAACAAACTGCAGATTGAAGAACGTGTTCATTAAAAAAAAAAAAAAAAAAAAAAAAAACTTTTTTTTAAACTTCGGGTTTGTAGTATAAAGTATTGATATTCTAAATGGCTACATCCTAAGACACATACAAAAATAAATACATTAAAAACATTGTTAGGCAATCTTTTAATACGTAAAAATTAACTTATATCTACGACAGTTGATATATGTATGATCGACGCAGTGCGTTTTATTTATTTATTTTTTTAATTCTTTATAAACATATACACGTGTTAATATTAATAATTGTCCTAATCATTTTTTTACAGATAAAACATCAACAAGAACTTGCTCTTTATTAAGCAGCGTCTCAATTGCAATAATGTGCAATCGTACTGATAATAGTAAATCATATCAAAAATATTAAAACCAATTAACAATAATCTCAAACACCTATACAATATTTTCGCTCCCTTTCCTTCCAAGGGCCAAAATTTTCTAATAACAACATCTTTCCTTCTTCTTCTGTGTACAACATGAACTTCTTTAGTTCCAATTTGATTTATCAATAAACGACAAAATTTAACGTATGAACCTACCAAAATTAAAATAGAAACCAAATCTGACTACAGAAGGATACATTTTGAGTCCGGTGTGTATTTAAGTTAGGATTGTAGACGCAGGAGCTCTCAGAAAAGGGGGACCGTAAACTGGGGAGTCCGGAAACCGTTGCATGTACCGTTCCAACCGGACATACTTAACGGTCACCAGACTTCCGGCGTACCTAAAACAAACAATTGCAATTTCTCCGCCCAAGTACCCACTTTTGGACAACTTACCACCAACCATGTAAATTTCTATAGGCGACTGCTGCATCATTTTGACTTGCGCATTTCAAATAAATACATTTAGCATTATTGTCCACAGCGCAATGCAAAATTTTGCACTGAATGGCGCATTTTGCCAAAATAGCCTCGGTGTTTAAGATGCCCCTGATTTTTAGGCACGGGGTCGGTGAACAGGGGAGACTGTTCATCGATCCAACTTCCGTTTCGAACGCCTGGCCTTGCCATGACTTGTTACGAGGAGACCTAAATCGTTCAACAACAAAAACCTATTACTGTAGAATAGGTGAAGACGTTTCCTTTTGAAAGAAGGATAATAATAAGGGTTGGTATTTGTCGTTAATGGCGTTCAGGTCATAGGTAGAAAGGGGGGTATTAATTAAATGTACTAAACTAATGATAAAAAAATACAAAACCTGACAAGATGTAAGGTTTGGTGCTTTGGTTTATTTATTTATTTACAATTTACAAATAAAATAACACGCAGCTCGTGCTTAAATTAAGTCGTTCTGACATTAAATGCGAAAAGTGTAGCGTTCAAAATGACTAAGAAAACGAATTTGTTATAAAAATGACGTCATGTTGAGCATAACGTCATTTATTTGAACAAGGTTCGGAGAAGCTGTGGATATGAAGAATTGTTGTTATAAAGGGAAAGACAATATTATTGTGTGATGAAATTGCATGTAATGGTTACTCACTCTGTAGAGCTCATGTTGGGATTACCCAGCCATCGCCAAACCTCGTAAGGTTCGCCTTGTACCACCTGAATTTCTGTGCGTATTCTTGATTCATTCTCATTAATAAATTTTACGGCCTTCTCCCAAGTTCTCTGTTTCACTGCAACCATGAAAAAGTTTCGATTTTAGGCACAAAAATAAAATAGTTTGTAACATTGTTACTAACGTTTTCTATCACTTATCGGAACGATCATGTCCCTGACGTGGTTTATGACAAGGAAATTGTTCTCTTTCTCTTCTTCCACGTGATTCTGTAATATTTCAACGATCCTCTCGACCATTGCGAAGACTTCGTCTTTTTGGTCTTGCTGATATTGTTTGTACGACTTATAAAGGAAATTTAGACCATAAATTAGTAAAAACCCGCCTCCAACCACTACTGCAGTGTTAATTATTGCAAAGAGCTTATTTGATATAATACAACTCCAGGGAAGGGGAGGATTTAGAACAGCCAAGCCCACATTACCGAGGGCTCTTTCAATTTTAACTTGTTTCTACAAAGAAAAATTTAATTGCTTACCGTTTACACATTTACAGGGGAATTAATAACTCACCATACTTTTAAGAACATTAGCCTCTGTAACAACACCAGCAGCTTCAACTATAGAGATTCCCCACTCTGGATTTTTGAAAATTAACAACTCTAGATTGTTTACTTCTTGACTTATGTTTCGTTTACCCTACAAATAATTAATACATCATGTATTGTAAATTATGCAAATGAATAATTAGACAATTAATTTTATTGACCTGAGTGCTTTGTGTATCTGTAACATAATTAATAATATCGTCTTCGGACAGGTAGGGCTTAACTGACGGATCTGAGCACCTATTTTTCAGGGCCAGCCGTTCCAATTCCGGTTTAATTTTCTTCATTAGCGTTATAGCTGCCATTACTTCGTTATCCAATATACAATTTTCGTCCTTATCAGAATTTTGACCGTTTGAAACACAATACGGGATTACGTATCCTGCAAAAAAATTAGTAAGTCCTGTAGCGCGGTTCTAAGACAAAAATTAAAATCCTTTAATAAGGAAAATGTTCAAGTATTGTAATAAAACAACGTTGCATAATCAGATCTTTATTATAATAATGTCACCAAATGAAATACAAAAGCTAGTACAAAAAAAATAATTGAAGAATTAGAAATCTTACGGACTTACTCTTTTTTATCTCAAACACCTGTTTATTTAAAGCCAACACCAAATATATTTACTTCTGTTTTTTTTCGTAGTACCAACTTTTTCGCTTATCAATAATAATAATAATATTCGATTATAATTAAAGAGATTTCTTATCAATGCAATGGTCAAGTACTTATGTATGTGTACGTTTGTAATTGTAAGTGTCTGTCGGTCCATTTTACGTCCATCTATTGCTAAAATGAACCCTTACCAGCTGTATCAAGGGCAGAACTGTCGGAGCGCATGCCCAAATACATGACACCAATCAAGACGAAGAAGAGGAATGCCACCCCTACAACTGCCAACGAGACCATATTGTTACGGACTATGTTACCCATGTTGCTGTCCTGACGTTGATAACGAGACCCCAAATCCCTGTAACGACCGGATCTGTGGAAAAATCTGCTTTACATCTCTTTAATAAAAGTGTGTATTAATTCATTTACCTTGCCAGATAACTTCTGGTGTAACTGCCGGGACCATTTATATCGTTCTCCTTGATGATGTCACTCTTGAATCCATAATCTGTCATCTTGGGACTGTTAGCACTCATCTGACTCAATCTTTTGGTGAAATTACTCAAAAATGGAGTCTCAGCAGGCTCGTCGACGTTATTATCAATTGAAGAGGTATATGTGGCAGTTGGTTTATCATAAGCTGCAAAGAAAGAACATCCCAACTTAAAGAGGAATAAATAAATGTGGAACATGAAAAAATACCAGAACTTCCAAGACTCAGTCTTGAACGAATCTGATTCAGTCGCTCCAAAGCGTCGTCAGAGTAAGAGGATGCTGATGTGTAACTTGAATATCGAGAAGGAGATGGTTTAGAAGAGACAAAAGAAGATGGCACATCTCTGGAGATGGGAATTTCGGTGGTAGTTGCTTTAGGAGGGGAAAGACTGCTCCTATTAAGAAATCCATAGGGAGGAGGAACAGTTGACTTCAATGGAGAATCTGGAAAACAAAATATAATACATTGGTTAAAATAAAACAATATTCAAAGAATTGTTTACCAGATCTCGTTTCAAAGCTCCTGCTGGTGTCATGCCTGTATGAGTTGTCTTCACTATCGATTACTTCAGGTTCAGTGTCAGAACCAGTGTCAAAGTCATCTCTTGATGTTGTAACGGTGGTTTTTCTTGAGGAAATGGTATTAATTTTACTTAATTTTGCATCAGGTTTTGATTCTGGCCGGGGACTCTAAAAAAACGAGCCCAATTAGTTACTTTTAGTAGTTATTCAATGTACAGATAAGTTTGCCTCCATAGGATACCAAATTTGAATAAATTGATAAATTAAATAAACTCCAAAAATTAATACTACAAAATTTAGTTACTTCAACAACATCACTGTCATTCAGACGAATACTACGACGCAAATTGGATCTGTTGGCTGAAGAAGTCAAAATTGTTGGTGGTGCCGTGATACGCCTGTTTCTGTCCCTTCTATTCTTTTTTGTTTCAGATTCGCTATCGTCGTCACTTGAATAACGAGCCAAAGACCTGCAAAAGAACAAGTTACCATCTACAACTACACAGAACAACTTCTGAAAGTACCTTCTTCCTTCGCTATTAATCTTATCTTTATTCTCTAAAAGAAGCTTCAGTTTTTTAACCATAACTTTCCTGGTTGTTCCCGTGATGGGCATAACGGGAAAACCATATTCCATAAGTTTTGTTCGAAGCTCTGCATCAGATAAATTATCAACATCCACCATCTAAAGAAAAATTTTATTTTATTAAGTGGTTAGGTTATGTTCAATATTTAATTTGAAAAATACAATAGAAAAACTGAAGATAGATTAAAATCTACTTCCTTACCTTGAGTTATACTTAAAGCAAGCACAAAAATTATAAAACCGTAAATAACTAGAGGAAAACTACATGAGATACTAATTCTAGCGTTGCATGAGGCGGCAAACTGCTCTTGATCTCAATACGAATCCTACGTTTAATCACTACTCCAAGGCACCAAGCATATGTTAAAAACACAAATTAAACACTAAATAATCCTTTAAACTCTTTAAATTCACGAGAAATTGTCGATTGCGTAAAAAAATGGTTTAAAATTTACTTTTAACCAAACACACGTCCATAAATAGGACTGAGAATGACGCCTCCTTCTTCTTTTTCTTCTATTCATAATGGTGGATAACTACCTAACAGGAGCGGACGAACAATTAATTTTTTAAAATAAAAACCGTTAGCAAAACTTTTAAAACTATTTCTAACAGCAAATTAATAAAATTATTACCTTATAACGGTATTTTAACATAATATCCTAACAAATACGGGCAGTATTAGTGTTGTTTTCAATAAAATCATGTACATTTACTCAATTATTACTTATAATATACGAAAGGAAATTGATCGTATTGAAATAACCACTGCAGATAATTATTTGAGCTGATAGAGAGCTAAATAAGGAGATAATTAAAAATTATTGTGTATATTTTTTGTGTTGGTCAGTTATGGAAACCAATAATCCAAAAAAAGTTATGAAGAAACTGAGTGTTAAGTAAGTAAAAAAAGGGGATGTTTAATTTACGAAAAATATTTAATTTTTTCAATAAATAAACAATTATACATAAATACAAAATACAAAATAACGTAACAACTATGACTTAGAATGTTTGAAGTACATACTTAAGTACCTAAACGAGATTANATAAATGCATTTTTGGAACAAATATTAATTTTTATATTAAGTAGCATATTATTTATGTTATTAGGGAACGAATACTGCATTATATTACTGTTAGATTGCTTAAAAAAAACGCGATAAATTTAACCCGGTGGTATCTTAGGTAGGGTCAGATTTAACCCGTTCCTTCTTTCTCAATTTTTTTTTAAAGTCGCATATGGTAAAACCAAAAACGAAAGATAATGATTAGAGCATATCTTTCACGTGATCACATGCACAGAAGGTCGATAAGGTCAAATTTTTAAATAAACAATCTAACAAAGAACGATTAGGAACTATAAGATATTCTACAAATAAAAAAAGGAACAACTTTTTCCAAATTGAACAATAGTGGCAATTATTTTTGGACCGTACTGTACTATCGTAATAATAAATTGAAAAACAGAAGAAACTGAACATAAAACATTAAATTTGTCTCTTACCTAAGCAATATTCTTTTTGATTTTAAATGTAAATATACAAATGTTAATAGGTAGAAACAAATTTTTTTTATCACATGTTAAGAACTCTCTCCCTACTGACTCCATTAAATAAATACATTAATACAATCAAGAAATAAATAAATAAAAAGGCAAATAAATAATAATAAATAAATATATACGTCAATTAATTATTACCAACGAAAGTTTCGCTGTAAATTATTAATTCGATTTTATATTTTCAACTTCTTTAATCTGGATGTTTTAAGCAATCTAAATACCATCGACTATTTTTTTTTGTGTCTGCCACATTAGTTTATTGTAGTTATTAGCGATTGTAATAGTCGTCCTCTTTTTCGACCGGATCGCCATCATCGTCTTCTACAGATTGATTGAAAAGAACATCCAGAAACCTAGGCTGTGAACGTCTTTTTCTACCACTAAAATAAAATAAAATAATGTTTACTTCTTAACTCGATCCCGCCGAACAAGTGAGTAAAACAGAAAAGTTTCGACAGCACCTATTACAACACTGGAGCTAAAGTGCATATACACTAGTGGCAAAATGATAACCGAACACAGGGATTTTCAATTGTTTGCAATCATCAAGGGAAATTCGTACAAATTCAGGCACCTTTTTTTGATACGTATTTGAAACATCAATAGGAGCGAAGCCGAGGGTAAAACCTATCATAAAATTTTGTACACGCATTGTAAGGGATACAGAAAAAGACATGAGCACTCTTTATTCAAAAAAAAAAAAATGCATGTAACAAAATATCGATACGTTTAGTTTTTAAGTCGCCATTAGTGTAGAAAGATAAATTCAATAAAATGATGCAATTTAATGAAACTGTGCATCATCTAAAAGGTCTTTCGTATTATTTCTTATGCATAATTGGATTTAAAATTATAATAAATCAATGTAAAAATGGTCAGGAGATCTAATCGTACAGTTAACTTAATTCCACAATAAGAAAAAAAAGATATACAACGATGGCATAACGTGTAAGGTCAACGACAGAAAAACCTTTTTGCGTCTTTTTACTCACTTTGGCTTACATCGTCAATGGTATACCAAGTTTAATCTAATCGTATAAATAGTTTACGGTTATTAATACACGATCAGCAAAATCACGTAAAGACACCGATTAATTACATTCCTCAGATAGAGGTTCTTCTTAATAAGTCTTATCTCGGATTTTCGAAATAATTACTACAATTATTATTTACTATACTTAGTCAGTATAAAATACTACACTTACTCCACACTACAGTATATAAATACTATGTTCATTGACAATAAAAATATCAGAAAGGTTATCTATCGGAAACCCTATTCAAAAAATAATTACTTTTTTATCAGATTCAGATAAGTATTTTATATGCGAAGTAATACGTACTCTTGAAACTTTTCAAAGGGTAATTATACTCACATATATTGAGGGTCAACTTTACCCATTCCAAGGGGCACAGTAACTAATTTTCCCGCAAGATTCCTTAATCCTATTATCGTTTCTAGTTCGGCCAATCTGGCATCAGATGATACCCTTTTTATCCTTAAAAAGAAAGCACATCTTAATCATTTAAAATGAAAAACTGTATATAATATATAAGTAGGTATATTATAATAACCGGGTGGTAAACTTTTTTTTATGTTTTTACTGTATTTACTGCAAAGTATACTATTACGTCAACGTGAAGTAGAAAAATATTTTTAGGATGGATCAATTTAAAAGGAAAGCCTTAAGGATGTGTTATCAATATAAGGCTTTTACGTTCTACAACACGTTATGGGTACCTTTTTCTTTTGTACTTAAACCAAACGCTTTTACCATTTACCTATCTATTATTATTATTATAAAAAACATTTGCAAGTAATCATTCCCGAAACTGAACAGTTTTTATAATCTTAATGAAAGCCAAATTGAAAAGTGTTTCTGATTGTCGTTGTTCTATTCATTTTCCAATTTCAAAACGGTATTCTGGGAAAACATTTTTCTTTGCACTTAATTTAAGATCAAATCGAGTAAAACGGATTGTCAAATACAGTTTCAGGCCACCTACTCTTATGTATTAAACAATTTTTCCATCAAATTGAAGAATTTAACTTGATAATTGACTTTTCAAAGTCTTATTCAGTCGATAAAACTGCTTTTCTTATTCGTAATTTTAACTTATAAAACGTTTATAACAATTACATTATCAGACGAATGAGTAAGCAAAACACAAATGTAAAACATCATTTTTCAAAATAATATCTACAAAAAATTAATAATCATACTTTATATTATTGTAACACATTTTTTGATATTGTTATGTAGTAAAGAAAGCAGAGATATGAAGTGAGTAAGTGAGTTATTATAAAATTGCTTTTGACGTAGTAGATTCGTCACAAATTTCTCTTTTTTTGCTATTATAATGATAGCAAACACCACTAATCTAGGTAAAGGTCTTGTTGTCAACTCTATGCAAATAGCGTATCGTAAAACCCATAAAATTTCTCTCTCGTAATTATTACAAGTGTAATTCCTTTTTTGTTTTCGCATTCGCCTTATAGCAATTGTTTCCAGATGAACTATTAGAATAGAATTGACGTCACATCGTGGTTTACGAAGTATTTAATATTGAAATGCGTGTGAAGAGATTACTATCAAAAAAAAAAAAGTTATGAATGGTATGCAGAAGTAGGAGACCCTGAATACAATTTTGCGTCAGTTTTTCTCGAGTTACTCATCTGATTCTAAATATAAACTAACAATGTTAAAAGAATAGAACAAAGATAAAAACAGATACAGATAGATTATTTTTAGATTGTGACCTTTGTTTGTACAACAATTGTGTGGTAAATTACGTTAGAAATACAAAAAGACACCGTCTACTACTTTTATATGCACTAGAATACACAGGGTGTCGATAAGTTGTAGAAACGATTCTGTTTCCAATTAATTAAAATGAAAACAGGTGAATGGATTTAAGTCTGGATCACCTTATCTTTGTATTATTTAGATATAACGAAAAGCATAAAAAATGCCGATTGGGACGTGTGAAGTTCATCCCACTTTATTTAATAATATGCGACAGGTACAGAAAAGTTATTACCAATTTCTGTTATCGGGAAGGATTTGGAGCGATTTGATATGTGTAATTAAATCAAATATTAATTCTACGAACTTGTATCATATTTCGCAGTTAAATATAAAAGTTATTAAAAAAATGAAAACGGACGTCTTTGGGTCATCGAGTTTATCTACGTTCATACACATTATAATGCCGCAAGAATGATGAATTGGATAAAATGCAAATAAATATCCGGTTTATTAATGTTACAAAATACAGAGACACTCCCCTCACGTAATGTATCAACAAATTTCGTAAAAAATAATAACGAATGCAACGAAATCGAAAAAACGATCGTTAAACCGCTAAAAAAATTAGCAGAAATATATAATTTTATTAGTAATCGAAATAGTTATGTAATTCTAAAAAGTACCGCGATTGTTGAATCAAATGAAACAAAAAAATGTCATCACAGTAAGAAACAAAACGCTTACAAAATTAAAAAAAAAAAAGAAACGCGAACTGTTGCAAAATTATTTAACTAGGAAAACCTTCCGAATTTTTCCAGACTCTCAAGTACCCACCGTTTCAAAAAAAAAAAAGAGTACATTGTGGGAGACATACATCACACACGTGTGGGCTTAGTAACAATTATTAAATAGTTACATCATCTTTGATAAATAAATAATTACATGCAGCACTTGTGTACCATCACCACCTGGTAACAGTATTACCTTTATTACACAATTTTGCCACATGTCTAGCCAGGGACGGACTCAGAAGCACAGATTCGAATGATATTTTATTACAATAGAAAATACTGTAGTTACTGTAATATATGAGAAACGAATGAATGTCGATGTATTTTATAAATTTTCCTGCGTTTCCTTCCTGAGTCCGTCACTGTAAAACACTCGCCTAAGCTTTTGATATGTTTTTTTTTGTCATATTTTACGAATTAGTAACTTTATCGGTACAAAAAGTAAAGTTCAGTTAGATTTCTCGCAACAACTTTTTTCAGACTTTGATTTTTTGCACCAAATTAATTAACAAAAAAAAAACAGATTGATATTTAAGTCACTTATCAGATAAAAGTTTTCACTAGACCTCATCCCATAATACCTTTTTCTAATTATACTTAATTGGACTTTGATTTTTTGTATCATTCGCCGGTAACAAACTTTGACCGATTGAATAATGGCAATAAAATATTAGAAAATACAAGAACTTTTAAGTTTTCCAAAAATGAAAAAACCCGAAACATTGTCATCTAAATCGACGTAGAATTGTGTTTTAATTACGCCAATTAATTTTATACGATTTCACAGTTCGCCGAAGTTTAATAAATAATTAATTAATTAAGAGATTCGTAGTCTAAACAATTGCTTTCCTTTTTACTTTTGCCGCAAGGATTTCCCATGTCTTTGGTAACCCAAATATCTTGCCAAGTGAAAAAAAATTGAAGGCCAAAAGACTACGGTCTTTAGTAATATTTTCTTATGTAATAACAAAACGTAATTCTTACAAAAAGACACTTTCCTTTCAATAATAGCACACAGGAATAGCTCTTTATACTGTTATTAAAATAAAAGTTGAAAGGTTTTCCAACAACATTAGTTCCTTTTTAAGGATACTATACACATACGAAGCATCAGGACATCAAAATTACAACAGAAGACATTATTTCAACGCGAAAAATAAAGTCTACCACTCAGTTATTAAAATATGCGTAAGGTACATCAAAATGTAAAACTCAATTAATAAAAACAAAATAACAAAAAGCACAGCTTACCTCGATGGCCTAGCATCTACTATTTGTAGCATGGCGAGGACAACAATAAAAACAAAAACTTTGAAGACGCGTTTGTCCATTTTCTTTGCGATTTTCCTTGACGGACGGCGTAGCGCGAATATACCGGAAACACTATGCGGAAATGTTTTATATATATATGTATATATATATGTATGTGTGTAGGATTGTCACCACCCTCACTTCGAACAGTTAAAAACAAAATGAAAATAAGAAAAATCGGTCGCAAAAAGTTCAATAATCCAACTCAACTAGAACTTAGTTAATTGCTTATATAGTCAGTCACTTGTTATCTTTCGCGGCCTTCTTAATGAAAATGGCATTTTTCGCGCATCACTCAACTTTTATACGTAACTGTGTGAAAAGATAAGATACTGCAAGGGGGAAAAAGACGTGGAAGAATTGACTGAGACGGCGCAATCCGGCGTAAGTCAAAAGAAAACTTACCAATCGGTATTACCCATAAAGTAGTACCTACATCTTACATAACACCTGTGTCTTTTATTCAAACAAAAAAAAACTTATTACGGTAATTCCAAAACGGATACATCAATTAAACACTTTTTTGAATTCGTTTAAGGATCGTCCTTGCGCGAATTACATACCCAGACCACTCACAACAATTTATTATCGAGTCCGAAACAAAAACTTAAAGGAAATATAAATATTTTTTTAACGCTACTCATATACTACATATATGTGTGTTAATGATATTACTTTTTTGTTTCTTCCAATTTGTTTATGAAAATTTAATGTTTTGTTTTGGATTAAGAAACTTTGTATACGTACAAAAATGCGTTCGTTACGTAATAATAAATGTAACTATATTATATTTATTTATAATTTACAATAATAATAAAATTTATCGAGTTCATTGAGACCTTTAAATATTACGATCTACTGACATCGAAAACAAATGAAGTAAGTGCAAATTTACTTAGGTAATTATAATTAATTATTATGAAAACTATTACAGGGACACGGATTTACATAATGTATTATTTATAAATCCAACTATTAAAACTAATCGAGTCGGAAAAAACGATTTTAAAATGAATAATGTAATAATTATCAATCCAAATTTTATAGCTAAACATGTCGAAAAACCTAATTTATGTTAATAAAGTGAAATGTATAGAAATTTTCAAATTTTTTTCGACAAAAAAGTAGCACGTAATTTTTAACAAAGAGAGTTCCTTGAATCCCAAATATTTGCCAAATTAGTCACTAACATTACAACTGAATTGAGTGTATAATATAATATCAGCTACATCGCATTACTTATCATTATCAAGTACCTGCGCCTCTATCACATTCGCAAACACATATGGATTAATTTAATGTCATGGATGTACTACCTAGTACATTTAATGTAATTCGCCATTAAGGACTTACGGACTTTTACAAACCATTTAATAACTAAATTGACCAAGTAAACCCTTAAAAAATTTCACTTCTTTAAAGGTACCCGGAAACAATTTTTTTTTAAATTTTATTTAGAAAGTGTCGTGTACCTAAAAAAGAGCCAGTTTTTCTGTTCCCATTAGTATATTCCCAAATAGCTCTTATTAATATAATCCAAAACAAAGCAGTCATCTGCTAAACGATGGTACACATATTTTATTAAATGTACGTCACAAGAGGATCGGGATGGATGGTGGGATGATGTCAAGATTATTCATGATTAATTTTTAATTTCATGCGAGACTTTTCTCGTTCAAAAAAAAATTCATCCAGTGGGAAAAAAAACAGACTTAGCACATTGCTAGGGGTACAGAGAAAGGACATAGGGCACCTTGTTAATTTATAAATATTCCCTAATGGCTCCCATGTAGATTAATTATGAAATCAAAATGTACACAATGCTTAGCCATGTCCCATGTACCTGTAGTACATGAGAACAAATTAGAACTATAACATATGGTCCTTAATTACTTATTCAAGTATTTTATAATGAATGAACATATCCACGTGTGTTTGATTAGCAATTCAAACAGGCATTTTACACCAGTGATTGTAACAATTGATAATTTCGATAAATTCAAAAAAATTCTAGTCATAAATTGAATCGATTTATTCAATGAAAAGATCGTTATTCTGAAAAAAAATGCTTCTACAGTCTGATATTACAATTCAAACTGGAGCATGATCATCTTCCCTCATATACAATCATTGGGAAAATGAATACTTAATAAAGTTTCCGAATTTTCATCAAATAATTCAATTTGTCAAACTAAGTAATCAACTACCTAATAAAAACCTTAACAAACAAAAAACTACAGGTTAAGTATAGCGTTAATTTCATTATTATTTGGACCTCCCACGGTTGAGGGGGTGAATTATGTTTAAAATTCTGTCATTTACCCTCGACATTAATTAAACGCTCCGTGAATGATATCAACTGTTGTTTGAGCTGATAAAAAAGAGTAAAACTCATACCGATCTCGGTCTCGCTTTTGTTTTTCGATGTGACAAATGATGATCGACAAATTTTCACCGTAACCTAAAGTAAATAAAAAATTATCTAATTTCACGGTTATGCCAGAGGGAAACGAGTTATGTAATGTACCTTGGTGAAAAAAAAAATATAATAAAACAGCAGGAGGCGTGCGATAGTTAATGGAAAAAATATGTAGAAATTTTATGACAAAAACTTAATTTCGTTATAAAAATTGATGTAGTAATATAAAGTGTTACACGAGAGGATATTTTTCATAAAACATCAGAAATACGATAAAGGAAATTAGAGCATGCACGTCTTCTTTTTTAATTAACTTTTTTGGAAGATACAGAATACGAAACTAGTAATCAAATGTATCACCCACGAAACACGTGAGACATCTTAGTAAATTTCGTTATCGCAAATTATTAGATTGAAAGTTGAAACCCTATTCATCATTCACTTTTAGAGATCTTTAGAAAAAAGATTTTTATTTGTATTTCGATTTTTCAATTTTCCAGCGGAACAAAAGCCGGAACTTGCGCAACAACTTCTTTTTATTTTTTGTTTTATTACGGTAAATCCAATATGAAATTGCGTTAATCTATTAAAAGTGTCGGTAATGCAATACAGTACACAAATGACACAGCACATTTCCTATTTAAGTACCTAGACGTTTACTCGATTTCATTTGATCTGATAAGAACATCGAAATCAAAAAACCGAAAGTTTCCTATTGTTGTTATTATTAAAATAAGTTTGCAGTGGTGCTAATTTTAATTTCTTTTTTACTATTCGTTGTTAAATGTTGGGTAAAAATTAGCGCCTTTTGACGAATGTTAGATACCACGAATTCCATAAGGATATTAAACTGCGATTTCTAAGTAGCAATTAAATACTTAGCAAAATATACGCGATTATTCAGTGAATAAAATCTTTGTTCTTTGAATGCTTTACATATGCCATTGATCTCGACATATGTTGAAATATGTAGAAACATTTTAATTAACGAGAAAATCAAGTTACGCCGCGTTTCGACTTCCCAAGAAATCATCCTCAGTTAAAGTAAACTGAGGGTAGGTAACAAGTTTTTGTGTGGAATTTGGGGTTTTAGCATTTATCTTAAACAATAGTTTTAATATAAAGAAATTATGAGTGGCGTCAGCAAGTATTATTACGTAAATGGAAGTTAGTATTAGCAATTTCTTATGTTGTAGTGTACGATGTGTTGCATACCCGTGAATAAACAACCACTTGAAGCAATGGTACTAACAGTTTCGAGCTCACAGTAACTAATAGGAGGGTAAAACTAGTAGCGAAAAGAAAAATTTTATGTAAATATTAACTAGTACATGTTTCCCAACACGAAACTACACTCCAATAAAAATCCTTGATGTTATCGATAAAAATCTAAACCACAATCAGATTGTACAATAGAAAAATGTATTTTATTAAAATTTGTTCCTATTCCGACCAAGGTTTTTATTATTTGCAAACACTTTTCTTAATGTTTACTTACAGATAAATTTACAACTGTTTTTAATTTAAACAGTTAACTTTTGAATATTTTATAGGTACATCAATAATCACAACACTTGTGATAACGAACAATCTTAAGGGTTCCCTTGTAGGTACCCTTTTTCCGTATTCAAAACCGATTTTAACTGTTCGAAGTTTTCCTACAAAATCAATGAACCAAACGAAACATGTAAAGGGGTTAACAAATAAAACTTGCATTCGTCCATGTTTTTTATTGGTAAAAATACTGCTTTTGTAGAAAAAAACTATTACTACTACGACAGCTACACGTTATGTACAAAATTTTGTTTATCAGTTAGCGCTAAACTTATTAGTAGTTTGTTGAACAGTACGTTATTGATGATGCACGATCGGTCGAAACGAAAAACAAAAATACAATTCCTGCTGTTTTTATTAAACAAAAGAAAGAAAAAAATGTAGACTAAAAAAATGACCTATTCCTACTTTACATTATTTGCAACATATAAAAAAAAAAATGATAATGAAAAATCAGTCAGGTAATTCGATTGAGACTATTGGTAATACCGGCTTAAATAAGTCGGCCCTTCTAACAACATGTCCGCCTTTTTCCGACTGTTGCTCCAGTTCCACCCCATTTCTATGGCGTTCGCTGTGATAAGCTATGTTTCCGTACTCTTGTAAGAGAGGACAAACGCTCAATATAAAAGAACAAAAGTCTTTTCTCATTCCAAACCACCCTTCAAAAATAACACGTGAAATAAAGCAATCGGAATTACTTCTTTCAACTATTTTATATACAGGGTGATCTCGCGTTCGCAATTCGTTCTTTTCACCCTGTATATACAATAGAAGAAATACGCCATTTTTGGTAGCTTACATTTGTTGCCCCCTTTTGAGTTGAAAGACATCAAAATGAGAGTCACAAACGACACCATGAGTGGTATTGCCACTGAGGTATGACTTATTTCAATATCCTCATCTAGTTTATTTGCTAGGAGAACCTGCAAAGAACATCCCCGTTTACGATATTCCCAATTTATTTATTATTAAACTATATGAAACACATTGAAGTTCAATAATGGCTAATATTAAATACTAATGTGAAAATTCATTCCAAATTTTCATCCACTATAAATAATCACCCCAAATTAATAAGTAGCTTAATGGTCAGAGCATAAGTACGTAAAGCGGTAGGTCCCGGGTTCGATTCCCGACGAGGGCTGACAATTTTTCCGCATTAATTTGAGGTAATTTATCGTGGATAAAAATTATGAATTAATTTTAACAGTAATATTTATTATTAAACGACGACTTTTATCACCTGAAATATTAGCACTGGAATAACGAGAAATGTGTAACCCAGTGCTGTTTGAAAACTAGACCTTCTTTGTTGAGCGTTTACTTCTGGTGTTCTAAGTAATATACCCGCAAAAATAATTGTGTACAAAACCCCCACCTGTAAGGTAAATTATTTTTTTTTAAACACCTACCAATCGTTTTATTACATTTTACTCACTAAAGCCAAACACATTACAATCCAAAGAGGTACAAAAACTACCTCCCAAGACCAACCAATAAACTCATCTAAACGTAGTGCTAAGAATATAAATTGCAGAACGTTGACCGCACAAAATAACTCCAACTAGAACGAAATTTTTAGTATTAACCATGTAATCATTTTACAGACAGTACTGTATAAATTAATAATAACATGTACAGTACATATAGTCAGGTGTCCATTTTCAATTGATGCGGTGGTACATTAATTTATAAGCATGTACACGCGCATACAATGTTTTTGAACTAGTAAAATTGCAAAATATAAAACAAACGATAGACAAAAGAAAAGAAGTTCAACAATAACAGAAAATAAATAAATACAACCAAGTTTCTCAATATTTATTATTACAATACGTATAAAAGAGATCACTCTTCTTGAAGGAGAGTGTGTGCATGTAAACCTGCTTGTAAATAAAAAAGGGGGTTAATAATTAGTTGTTGTTCACATAAAATATACTCAGTTCATAGGGCAAAAGGATATTCAGTTAATTGGGAACTCACCTCGAAAGATCTATCATGTTTAACAGCCCAAATACATACAGCAATGCTTACAATTGATATAAATATAAGAGGAATAAATACTAAGATCCACAAGTGTCTCCCTGATTCCAGTTTATCACAAACAAGCAGTTCAAACATTAACAAAATTAAATGCAGAGCCAAAGATATGAGCATTGCTTTGTAATGGATGTACGCTTCACCTTCAAGTCTAAAATAAAATTTATGGTATATTTTGGTAAATAATTGAATTAATTAGTTAACAACCTAAAGTGTGGATAACGCCACCAGACATAACTACCGACAGTGGCCCCTAAAATTACTAAAGCCTTCCATACCCAAATTGGTGCAAATATCCACCAATACGACCATTTTATATGATTGTCTAAGCGTAATGAGAAAAACGCTACAAATATTAATAAACAACTGTGCACCACAAACTTACTGAAAATAAAAAAATAACTCCTCAATTCTTTGTAATTTTCAAAATAAATAATGTAAACAAACATGAGTGGAGCTAGGTTATCTACATATTTTTAACACTAAAAGTACATTGACCTACATTTGTACTAGATATTTATAATTTATCTATTCTGTAGAATTAAATTCATACATTTACCTAGGATTAAAGTCTTGAAATAGTTGCTGTAAGTTCATTTTCTAATTTGCAAACAACCATTATTATGCCATCTAGTACACAACTGACAGTAGCTAAAATGACGCTCTTTATTTGAACTACGAGGTGCGCATCATTTGAACTATAGCAGGCGCTCCATTCGAACTACAAGTTAAAACTCAAAAATTCCGGGAAATTCAAAAGTGTATGGGGGTGGGTTCTTCACAATAGCTGTAAAATTAGAAAAAAGTATTAATTTTACCACGTACACTCTTTATTAGTTTTAAAATTTTCAATAAACGGGCGTAAAGGTTTTCAAAAACACCAAACACATTAAAATTGAATCAGGCCTCATTTACCTACAAACATACCATCCACAAAGGTTAAATAATAAAAATTTATGTTCTTTTTTCACATATAATACCTATAAAAATATCAAATCTGAAGTTTTTAATGATACTGGTAATAGAATGCTTATTAATTAAGTACAATAAATGAGTATTCATTTCTTTTTACGTATTATATAAAAATACGTCTTAATTTAAGGTAAGTAATTAAATGATAGCGATATGCATACTCATATACGTAAATATTTATATATAATATATTCGTCGCAAAAGGAACGGTCCCTTTTTACTTTTTTTCTTTTGTCATTAGTAATATTAAAATAATAATCTTGCACAGCTCCTTTGTCTTTTGGCACTTTTATTGCTGCTGTTGTATTTTCTTTTGCATTGCAGCCAACATTTCTTGCATTTTTTTAAGTTCCGCCTCTTTCTCAGCCAAAATGCGATCTTTTTCGCTTATTGAACCATTTTCCGAAATCCTAGAAGAGTTTCATCAATAAAAAAAAAACAATTAATATAACGGTAAAAATGCTCTAATTTATTACGTGTTGCGTTTCGATGTAGGCGTAGGTGGGGGTGCCCCCTTCGCAAGTCTCTCTGACCTATAATTTTCATAATGCACTTCGTGGGTGACCTCTTGCATATCTTGCATATGCGTTATGAGCATCGTACGAAGTTTGATAAAATCGCAATGCTCGGGGTTTTCAACTTCAACTACCCCCCACGGATATAAGCGACCCCTCACTTTACGACCCTTTACTTCCATCATTGTGTTAGAACCACAAACAGCAAATGGTACCGCTTGTTTCAATTGGCGAACCTTTAAACAAACGTTTTAATAGCAAATGCGAAACGAAAACGAGAATTTAAAGTGATTGGAGACCTGCTCTTTGTATTCTTCGTCCTCGTCTGAATCGCATTCTGGTAACTGGTAAATTTTTATGCCGTTATCCCGAATTTCGTCCATCACTTTGTTCTTAAGTCTTTGCATTTCTTTTTTCGTTAAAACGTCCGCTTTTGCAATTACAGGAATAATATTAACTTTATTATGTAATTGTTTCATGAATTCTATATCTAAGGGCTTCAACCTAAAAAATTCAACTTCCAATTTAAATGCAACATTTTTATGGTAGGTATACAATGTATTTAGTTTACCCATGGCCAAATGGTGAAATAAAATAGAAGCAACAGTGTATGCGATTATCAACGATATTTCTTCGATTTAAGCCCGATTCGTCTCTTAAGAAACGCTCAAATTGCTCATCTATGTATCGAATTATGGCCTTGAAACAATCTGTGTTATCAATAGCATCTCCATATCCTGGAGTATCAACTACTGTTAATCTAAGTTTTACACCACGTTCTTCTATCTCTACAGTCGATGCATCTAATTTTACAGTTTGTTTGCCTTTTTCTACAATTACAACATAATCAACACTCGGTTTATTATCTATGTTATAAAAAATTAAATATTACAATATAGAAACAATTGTTTGAGAAATTCTCAATGTGCTTTTGTCACAAAATTTCATAAAGAAGTCTTGTATATGATAAGAAAGCTATAACATTTATGAAATATGTAAATATAAGGAACTTATTCATGTAGATAAGAATGAAAACAATTACTTTATACAATAAATAGGTAAATAGGTAACAAGGTAAATACTCAGTTTTAATTGGTAACTCCAATAATGAGACTATAAAAACAACATAGTATAGCAGTTTTCATGAAAATAGATTATCTTACCAATAGCATCCGGAACTATTCGTTCAGGATAAAGATCAGTCAAGAAAAGTGAATTCACGAGCGTAGATTTGCCCAATCCACTTTCACCTACGACCATAAGGGTAAATTCAAAACCCTTTTTCACGGATTTTCGATGTACTTGATTAGGTAAATTTGCAAAGCCTACATAACCTGGGGTCTCTAAGCTAGAAAACTAGAAAATACACATATAAGTTATTGACCGATAAAACTTCTAATGTAAACAACAGTAAACATTTTCAGTGACGAACCACACCTGGTACGAATAGAAAAGGAAATAATGACTAAAACTTACACTTTTAACAGACTCATTAGACATTTCGTGCTTTATTCGGAACCTGGTTAAGTAAAAAAAAAATAATAACCGATAAAATAAAGCAAAATTTCGGAAAAAAACACAAAACTCTGGACAATTCAACAAATATTAATAAACCGCTGTCATGTTCTACATCAAGGTCATTATGGTACCATAGATCATTGACATGTACGTCGATGACATAGATAATGATACCTAAAGTGGCGTCTGTGTTCAATAGAAGTAGAATAAAATATAACAGTGGCGTAACAACTTGGAGGATTCCTATACATTAAATAAATACTGATTCCATCATTACAAATCTCGCATTAAGATTAAGTATTATAAGAGACTCAGTACTGTTATGTAAATTAATTAATTAAGTTATTAATCAACTTACAAATAATATCACCATGTATTGAGAAAATTCTTTTAATTCTATGAAGTAACGTCAATGGAGTAACCATTGAAATGTGTTATCTGTGGTTGAAAATTAACTCTTTATCTATGATTAACCCATAGTCTCATCTTGTCTATAAGTCTTATCTATGGCCATAGCAATGGCCGCAATGGCTAACAAACCAAAAGAATTTACTTAGGTTAGGTACAACTGTTTGTTTTTATTTTTATTTGCATGTAAAAAACATAAACCACCTTTTAAACAACGATAATGGCAGATCGTTTAACTCAATTGCAGGATTGCATCAATCAGGTTAATTTGTTCAATAATGTCCTCACTATTGCAGCTCAATACTAATTATTTGCTCATTATTATTTTAGTTAGCAGAACACTTTTGCAATAGTATTGGAATTTTGCAACAGTTTGCTTCTCCAAGTAAATTTCCAGGCTTTGATAGAACTGGCTCCCAAACACCACAACAACAAACTCAGGATGACTATGTGCAATTGTTTACTACACTTATTGCACGTTGTTCCAAAGATATCGATACCCTCATAGAGTCCTTGCCTAGTGAAGAAAGTTCTACAGAACTGCAGGTAACTAAATCAAAAGTTTCATTAATTATAGTTCTTGATTTTACTGAGCTAATTGTTTCAGCTTCAGAGCTTAAAAGTTCTTGAAGCAGAAAATCAAGAAACTGCCGAGAGGTTGGAAGCTATTGTTCATAGGGGCCAAGAACTTTTAGATCAAATACAAATTGCCTTAAGTGACATCTCACAAGCTCAGCTTGAAATGCAGTATCCCGCAAAAAAGAATTTATTATAAGGATTAGACTGTCTCTCAAATTTATATTTCTTTTTTCATTTACAAAATTGCTTTAAGTTAATTTTACTTTAGATATCCTACTTGTAAGATGGATGAGAAGAAAATAAAAGATAATTTTTAGTTTTACAATTACTATTAATGGGTGGTAGAATAATTATATACAAATATTTACAAGTTTTTTTTAACTTTTTACGCTCACTTCATCACCTGGTTCTTACAGGAAATGATGACTGTGAGAATGATATATACACAAAGTTCAGAAGTTCAGTAATAACTCAGAAACGAACACACAAGCATTCACAAGGTCCTTCTGTTGGAAAAAAGTAATAATTATAATTAAAAGTTACCTAATTCAAAGTACCGCGACAAGTGGCAGCGCCACAAAGACAAGGAATCTTTTCATCCTCGATTGGAAATTTATAATCGTAGGTTATTTCTTCGTTCACACCTATCGGTTGTTTCGAATAAATCACAATTTTCTTTTGGGATTCTATCGTTATGACTTTGGCGTAACAGTTCGGCTAAAATAAACATGCATGTTTTACAATAGCTGTAATTTCTTGTACAATGTTAATACTAACGTTGCAACTGTGATTGATGAATCGTGCTAAATTTCCACATTTCGTTGCGTCTATTATGGTTTCGAGATCTATTCGGAAAAGATAGGAACTGCCGATACCAGCGGCCTCATAATTGGACTCGCGCAAATCGGCTACACTAGGTCGTACCATCTGTCCAACATACTCAATTACCATTTCATCCGCCGCAATGGGTTCCATTGCAAATAGACCCCAATCATGAATAGCTGATTTTGCGAATTTTAAATGTTTCTTGCGAAATTTAAGCTGATTAAATTTAAGCAGATCAGAATCAGTATCTGTTCCGAATGCCGTCAGTAGACGACGTTGATTCGATCTGGCTTCCCTTGAAATACCTTAAAAACAAATCGATATAAAAGTTTGACTTTATTTAAAATAAATATTTAAATTCTTTTTTTCTTTGTTCATTTTTACCTTGTGTTTTTGAGAGAGTAACGTTAGAAGAAACAATTGCGTTCGACCTTGTGTGATGATACTTGTATTTTGCTTTTTCGTGAGCTTCAATTTTATAATAGCCCTCCGTTCGCGCACACCCTGTTGAATGCAGTCGTAAATCTTCGCGTTTTCGACGTTTCGGTGGGCTAGAATATAGATCGGTGACACAATGATCCACCCAGTGAGTATCGTTTAACCAATAACCAATAGAATCGATCGAAAGCATCGCTTCATACGATTCTTTCATATACCTAATATCTTCGATATCAATACCTAAACAACGGAACGGTAATTAAAATTATGTTGTAATTAAATACAGTACGTTTTTGTACCTTTTGTCAAAAATTCGTACAGAATACCCATTTCAGCCACCATATCTCGCTCCTTGTGTTTAACATTGTGAATTTGCACAGGAACATTACTGGATGGGACATGTTCTTGGTAATTACCGTACTCGAGTAATTTCTGCAACTCGTGCATTTTACGTACATTATGCTTCTGTTTGCGCTGTCGTGGTGGTTTTGTAGGTTTATCATTCCAATCGTTTTCTTTAATCGCTACGACGTCATCCTTTTTGCGTTCACGTTCTTGGACGTGTTCTTCAGGTGTTGCAGTTTCCAAATCTTCATTTTCCTTTTGTGGAGGCATACAGTACGAATGTTCTATAGTCACCTGTAATTTTTATAAACATTATATAATACACTGTGACAGTATAAAAGTACCAATTCGAGACCCACCTGAGACTTGGGACTGCTTGAATCGATCGAAGACTCAGACAAACTTTTCGATCTTTCGATAGTTCCATTGCTAATCACTTTGCTTTCTGTTTGTGTTTTGCTTACCAAGTCTGGTTTTTCTTCCGCTTTTTTCCCTTCGTTTGCGGTTCTTTCAGAGGGAGGTTCGGGATTTTTCGACGTGCTTAAGTTCGCTTCTCTGTCAGTTTCCCTTTTCTCTAATATCTGACGTTCATTTTCCGAACTTTCTTCTTTATCAACCGCATATGTTTTCGACATACCTCGAGCTTGCCTTTCCGCTTTTTCCCGTTCTTCCCGCTCCTTTTCGATCTTCTCCATGTATTCCGTGTTACGTTTACGTCGTTCCAAATAAAATCGTTCTTCCTCGCTCATATCGCTGTCGCTTTCCAAAAAGCGCGAAAAATCGTTTCGTACAACGGCTTCACTTGTGGATTCGGATTTGTCAAGATTCTCTTCAACGTTTGCGTTCATTTGAATCGGTTCTGGGGTTTTGTTGCGTGGCTCGATGTCATCTTGAATTGGTGACATAGTATAATCCGCATTAGTTTCTTCCGCCGCAGATAAGTCTAAATCTTGGTTTTCATTTTGTCGCATGGGTGAAGAGAGTAACGTTTTAATTTCCATTTCACCATCTTCTTCAGTTTCAGATGCACTTTCATCAGAACTCGAATCATCGCTGCTCGAGCTAAATGTTGAACTGGCCGAACTAGTGCTTGAGCTGGAAGAAGTTTTCCGAACACGGCGTAATTGGCGCGACGTGCTTTGAGTATCTTCTGTATCAAAGTGGTGAACAATTTCTTCGCTACAAATAGTTAATGAATTCGCAAATTGTAAATAACTAGATAGATTATTATCTAATTAATTTTACCTATCTGACAATTTTCTTGAATCTTCATCTTCAATAACTGGCGAGGGTAATTTTTTTCTTCTGAAACTAGGCATTTTTGGTAATGACGCTCTTAAACCTAAACCAAATCCTACATTATCGAATGTTCCACTATACAAATTCTCCCTGTTGGACTCCAAAAGAATATTTATGTTATCTTTCGTTTGCAGTGAATCCTTATCAATTTGTAGCTCATCCTGTGCACATTTGTTTAAATTAAAAAAATTAATTTATCTATAAACTTTATTAAAATTATTGCCGATGGAATAGAGATTATTATTTACCTTATTAATCACCAATGTACTTTCATTTTCTTTTAAACTCTCTTCTTCCCACCAAGTTTCGAACTTTTTGAATGCAGTATTTTCGACCATCTTTTTATTGAAGTCTTTCTTGAGAATCTGCTTCAATTCTTGCGTGATTTGCTTGACGACTCCGTGAATAGTTGGTGCGTGTGGGTCGTCTTTTGGTATATCAGTCTTTCGCTGGCCAAATTGATAAGGTAAATAGGGTTGTGTCGTTTGAAACTGAGGGAACTGAGAATATTGAGGATGGGCAAGATGATACAGAGGTGGAGCCCCACCGTGCGGTTGCTGAGGACCGTAGGGATATGACTGATGCCAATCTGGCGTTACCGTGTAAGTGGTTCCTGGATACCCGTACGGTGTCGGAGGGTAACCTAAAAGAATAATTAAGCACAAATACAGAGGAATGGGGCTACACAAAACAATAAGTAACCATTACCAGGGTACTGCTGATGATAAGTATTATATGTAGATCCAGGAAATGGAGAAATATGCGATGGGGGTACGTTGACGTGACTTTCCGGTTTGGATTCTTCTATTTTAGCCTCTGTACTACTCAGAGACGAAAGGCTCATTTGGTCATCGTCCTTTTCTGTTTTGACTTCCTTTTTGTTAAATGATCTCGGCTCTATTGGACTGTAATTATTTCCAAGTCGTTCTCCCGTTAACAGTTCGTCTTCGCTAGACGAAATATCACTTCCAATTTTATCCATTTCAATTTTGACTTGCTTTAGAAGGGCAGTTGTTTCCAATGCTTCTCTTTGCCTTGCAACCAACGCCTGGAATTTTTTTTTGCAGATATATGTACAATAATATAGCCCTTAAATTGGCACATTATTTTTTTAAAAATTACCTGTTCTACTCCATTTCGATGGCATTCCAAATAAATTTCCCTGGACAAGAACGGAGAGGGGGTACACGATAAAGGAGCATCGTGATTTAATCTAGACACGTTTGTGTCTACATTGGGTGCGGGGGGATTAATCGGGAGATCACTCAGTGAAACACTTGAACGATCTAAAATTGATATTTTTTTTTTATAAACTTACAAATAAAACAAAAGACAAATACAGCTTATTTTACCATCATCGTCGCTATCGATAGAAGTTGACAATGGTAGCGAAGGCAAACCTTTATCACACAGTGACCTCGAATCGTCTTCCGAATCTACTGCCAAACTAAGAAAAGGAGGAGCCATTCCTCCAGACCCTTTCCCTTTTAACAGCAACGCTATCCTGCAAATGTCACAAATTGATATAATAATGTGAAATTTTATGGTACGTCATACCATACCTTGTATCTAAATCTAACGTTTTTCCTTCAGTCTCATCTTTTTCCTTTTCTTTTTTCCTTTTGCTTGAATTAACTTTCCGTTTGTCTCTGTCTCTGTCTCTAGAGTCTCTGTCTTTATCCCGTGCCTCTCTGGAGATATCTTTATCCCTCTCTGTTGTTTTTAATGCATGACTGTTAGCGGTGGACCATTTATGAATTGGAGGAATTGTGGGTGCCCTGTCCCACTGTTCGTTTGGTGTCCATTGGTGAGGTGGTACTGACCAAACATGTGGTGTGCCAACATGATGATGATAAGGTGTATTGTATGTATATTGATGGGATAAAGCAACATTATGAGGATAATCGTAACTAAAATGGATAAATTGCAACAGTTATCATAAATGCTTATAAAGTATGTATTTATTTTACGTTAAAGGTGTTGTATTTGCTGATCCAAAACTTGCGGAATAATCACTAGGGGCAGTATTGTATCCCATATCAGCACTTCCAGGAGTAGTAAATTCTCTTCCAGCATTAAGACTTCTACTATACGACAATCTTTCCTTTTCAAAGTATCTTTCTGTATCTTGCTCTTTTTCTTTTAGAAGACCTACCCGCAAATCTTCCTTTCCCTTTAACATTTCTTTTTCTTTTTCCTTAAAATCACTTTTTTTCTTTTCATCTTCAATCTTTTTAATATCCACGTCTACTTTAGGCTCTTCCACAAGCAATACGTTTTTTTTTTCAGTTGTCAATTCTTCAAACTTTTTTTTACATTGTTCACCAAAAGGATCCAAGAATACTTGTAAAACTTTTCCCATTACGCTGGTATTATTTAATTTTTCAACACAAGCCTTTGCACTCTCAATTGTCTCAAAAACTACTCTACCAAGGCCAAGATGTTTATTTGTAAATGAGTGGTAGTAAATGAAGAGTTCTTCTATTTCTCCAAACTTCTGAACCATGTCAGACAAGAACTGCTTATCAATGTTGTCATTAAGATGGAAAAAAGTTACTTCCAGTGGGGGAGGTTCTCCCACATAGTTAACATCTATTCTAAACCTTAGAGAAATATTGAGTATATGTCAGACACAGAGGAAAAACTATTAAAACAATAACAGTCAGATTGCAACTATGAAAAACAATGAAGCACCTTTAATATATTATATGTATATCTTTCCAGACAGGAAAAACAAACAAATATGAATGATAAACATTGTATACAGGTGTGTAAATAAATTCATTTTTTTGGTTATGCTTAAAAGGGAAGTTATTTCTAAAGGAGTCATAACACCAGCAAATTTATAACTACCTAGGTACTGGTAATTCCAATGTTTCCAATCTTGTCCAAATTTTAGTTAAATGAGATCGAGGATCTCTTGGCACTACAGGTGGGTAGCTAGGATCATTAGGAACTATTCCATCATATCTGTATAGTTTTGCAGTTCCCTTGACTAAAAATGGATCAACTAGAAGCTTATAATTTCTTGGGGCTTTTGCAGAACAATGGCTTTGAGGTGTTCGGTCCATCACACCATTCATTCTAAAAATGAAAGTCTTTTAAGTAACAGTGGAGTGTATCACATAAGACGAATTTACTTTCGAGCTTGTTCTAACCTTTTATCTTGTAAGTATAAAGATACCAAAAACAAGAAATTTTAAATTGTTTTGTCAATTTTTTTCATGATGATACAACAATTGCCAAACACTTGTATGAAATAATTAACACAATATCTACCTAAAAATAAATATCATTCACTAATTTCCTATGGCTTTTTCTACACAAACAACACTTTTCCAAAAATGTATTTTCGTCGAGATGTCGAAAGAACTATATGGCAAAGAACTTACTCTATACGATCGACTTATAACCAGTAGCCACTTCTAACAAACTTCTAAGTTCTAACCTCTACATAATATTTTATCTATGATATTTTAAGCATAGAACTGCATAGAACCATAGTAAATCATCTTATTCACAGATGTCTCTCGTTTTTCGTCGAATTCATAACCATAGATAAAATAGATGTATTAGAAAAGTCATTAACGTCATTTAAAAAGAATTGTCTTATGCAGGAGCTGTTACGCAAGTAGAAAAAATTAAATTATTTGCTAAAGAAGAGTGATTGTATTTATTTTAATAACGAAAACATGTTCTTTGGAAAAATCCTTTCTCGTCTTTTGCCTGTTATTAAAGCTGACGATGAAGATCTAGTCGATCCTCAACAAGAATTGAGGGTAGGTTTCAATTTTTATTAACTTAGACTGTGTTGGGTAAAATTTTAATTTACTTTCTCATTATTTAAGAATGAGTGTCGAGAATCGCACTGTAAGAACTTCGCTGAAAAATTAGAAGAATGTACTACAAGAGTCACTAGTAAAACCAAGACAACAGAAACTTGCGTTGAAGAATTGATAGATTTGATGCACTGCCTAGATCATTGTGTTACCCCACATCTGTTTTCGAAGCTTAAATAGATGAGTGACTTATTTTTCTGTAGATTTATCCATTAATAATTAAAAATTATAAATAGTGGATGTTGTTGTAAATAAAGATATCTGTAAAAAGAAATGGGTATTAATTAGATTGAATGTTTTGAATGAATTTCATTATAAAATTACCATTAACTTATGGGGCATACTTACAAGTTTATTAGATTATATACTTTTATTACATACTTGATAAAATAAATTGTAAATGCATAGGTATATATTTATAAAGGTATACTAAATTAAGCATGGAAAGTTGTGAGTAAAGTAACACTGTACAGAATAATTACCAGTTTCATGTAATTGTTTTTGGAAATTTACTGTAAACCAGTTTTGAGAACATCAAAACAGACCTTGCATACTCGAACAGGTTTATTTTCTCCAAATTTTATTATCGGTACCTCTTGATTTGAACATTTACTACACAAAATTCTACCGCAATGTCGACAATGATGTTTTCTTATGGTTACTGTGAAATTCTTTCCACACTCCTGACACATATCTGTCTGTGTCCATGGTACTTGCTGAGATAATTGATCTAACAATCTATAAAGTAGTTGTTTGGTAGCCACCTGATAAATTAAATTTATTTAGAAGAGATGTATGTATTAAGAAAGTTACTTATGTCTGACCTGATAATTAAAAATGGTAACCCTTTCGTTATTTTCGGCAGCTAAGCACGCATTTGCCTTTACTAGAATTCGGCACAAATTACCATTCCCTTTCATGTATGCCAATAATAACGGAGTATTGCCCTGTAATGGGTAATAAATAAAGCTGCGTCAGTAACGTCAAGAATTCAAAAATTTGAGAATGACTATAAATAAGTAACATAAGAATTGTCCAATAAAATTAATTAATCTTACTATATACCCTTATACAATTCAAACGTGTGATAAATATATAGTCAAAGGCCAAAATGTACATAAACGCTGTACAGAATGATTGGTTTATCCCTACATTCGCCCAACGCCTTTAAGTCAGCTTTTAAATACATACATAAACTTTCCACAACCTAATTATGTATTTATTTTAATTTTAATAGTAATAATTTCAATTATAGAATAAGGATAGATCAGT